GGTAGTTGGGGTGGGCTCCTTCTGTTTAGGGATGTCCACCGCATGGCTTTTCGCTCATCCAGGGTTCGCCACACTAGTGCTAACCCGAAATATGGTGGGGCTCAAAACCATTCCTTAGAGTTCCGAAGAGCCCTTTAAAGGAACCCTATTCTGATTGTTACGGCCCCTGCATGACCTGTAGAAACTTTTAAAGGCAATTTTCATCCGAAAACACAGGAGGGTTTCCGAAAATTCGCGGTACTTTGTTTTGGTGGTCCTGAGGATCGTACTATTTAGGGTGCTGTACTAGTATCCCTTTTTCGGAAACACACACATTAGTTTGGCGTCTGGAGATCGCTTGAAGCGCGCTTTGAGAAGTCGTGAGATTCCCATGAAGGCCCCCAGCAATTCCGACTGCAAAAACCTGGGGCAGATTCAACTGGTATTCAATCAACGAAGACAAAGGTTCATGGTATATAGCTCCCGGTGTTTAGGGCTTATATAGTTCAGCGTTTACTAGGGTGTACAGGGTGTACAAGACTAGTTGCTCTCTGACATCCGAAGAATCTTAAGCCGTAGCTTCAGCTAATGTATGTTGCTTGATATCACGTGATATCCCTAGAGTTCTCAGTCGTAGAGTTTGTAAGTAGGAAAGGGAATACGCATAACATGTAGTGCCTTATAGTGTGGGCGTTTGAAGCCCGCAAAATCTAAAGCAGAAAGGACTTGGTTCTGGAACGTTCGAGACGCAGATGGCCATTTATTTTCATCGTGTGTGTGTGTGTGTGTGTGTACATGTACGTGTGTGCGTATGTATGTTCGTGATTACTGGTCTCAGTAGCTTTGTGCAGAATGTAGACGTATGTGCAAACGTACACGGCCAGCTCGGAGCTTACCAACTGCTTCGCAAGAAGCAACAACGGGTTCAACAACGAAACACAAGACAGCATTGCAACAAACTAAACCTAAAGAACTGAAATCCTGAGCCACTAAATCAAAACCCTAAACCATACCAACTTTATGCAAAAGCTGGGGCATTTCCGAGGGCCGGGAGAGGGACACACCAGCCTGCCCGAATCTTAGAGTGTGGCTTTGCGGTGTAGGGCCCTATGGTTTTGGGTTTTGGAGTGCGGGCTTTGGGGTTTCGGGCCTACTAGGCAGTTCACGATTAGGTCTCAGGGTTTTGGGGGATGAGGGCATTTTACGGATGTGAGCCATCAGGGTTTGGGCTCCGCTGAAGCTGATTCGGGCTGGTAATGTTTGGGGTGCAGTTCGTTGTGAGGATGGTCCGAGCTTGGCTGGCTTTACGAGTTCCGTGATTGGACATTTAGGATTCTGTGTAGTAGAATGTTTCCCCGTGGTTGTGGTTCACTGTGGCATGAGCCCCAACTCTTAACAAAAGAGGGTTTTCAGTGTTTGGGGTTTGAGTGCTTTACGGCTTTTTGCTTGGCAACAAAAGCCCACAAAGCGCACATTGGGCTAGCATGAAACAGCGGCGATGACGAACGCGACAACGGATTGAAACAACAAGTAGACAATCGCACCCTGTACATGTTGCACTAATGTAGGAACCTGATTAATAACCTCGGGCATTTATTCGGGTTCCTTATATGAACCCTACTATTTTGGGCTTATAGGCCTAGGGTTCCTCAATCAGGTTCCTACATTAAACCTAAACCCCCTTGACTTTCTCCTCAATCTTAATTCAAGAAGAATTCACCGCGATCAAGCACTGCATACTTCCCAGACAAGGGCAGCAGCTTTTGTCCCAAAGTCTGAAAATTCCCGACAAGACACCCGCCCCCCCCACCCCACGTGGAACTTGAATGGGCAGTAGTGCCCTGCTTCCCAAAAACTCATGATAAGGGGCAAGCCATGTCCGGACATTTTCGATTCGCTGAGACCTCCACCAAGTAATAGGAGCCTTTGCTCCTAAACCCTAAACCCTAAACCTGAATTTGACTTCGGGTTCGGAGTTACGACTCGGGTAGGAGCAATGTAACCCCCGAGCCGCCCTGACCCCTGCACCGTGTAGAGCTCAGGCCTATGTGCAGGGGACATCCACTACGCGGGCGCTTTCCCCGACCGTGGCTTCTTTCCTGCAGGGCTCAAAAACACACAATCGTTGAATCCTCGCCGATTGCAATTATGCTACCTTAACTGTTTACTTATGTTTAGGTACTTGTTTGCGGCTCTGAATTTCGGGAGGGCAGGAAGTTCTCTCAGTCGCACGCTTTCCTTGGAAGCGTACTGTTTTGTGGATCTCGAAAGGGCGTCCCAATCATATGGACACCTGCGCCTACTCTGTCAGATCTTGCGGTGTTTAGTTCTGTGTGTGTGTGAACATATACGTAAATAGGTTCATTAGTTAGTTAGTTAGTATATATATATATATATACATATATATATATATACACATATATATATATATATACTCAGTAGAAGACAGAAAGTTGGATCAGTAGTATCCTCATGCCCGTAAGGTAAAGTATAAGAGATCCTAGCACGAATCCTCCTAAACCCATGTTCCAACTGTCTGTGATCGCTATATATGTATATATATATATATATATATGTATGTATATATGTATATGTATATATGTATGTATGTATATATATATATATATATATATAGAGAGAGAGAGAGAGAGAGAGAGAGAGAAGGCTGTAAGCAAGTAGAAAATGCATGTGTATGTATGTATATATATATATATATGATTTACACAACGGCACGCTGTGCAAACAGACATGGAATGAGCCACTCGTCCATGAGCCGAGTTGTGTGATACCGGACCACGGTGATATATATATATATATATATATATATATCCGTCCTTTCACGTATATTCTATACATATGTGTACATGTGTGTATATATATATATATATATATAGCACACTTATTGTACATATAGGTATATCAATATACAGCTCCATAAGATATCGTGTTCCTTTGTTTGAAAGGCGGCATGATTTGAGCCGAGGTCTCCACGGTGCGGCTCGGGAGCTCGGAGAGTCGCGTTGTTTCTTGTTGGTTGGTGGTTTTTTGGTGGGTTTAGGGTTCGCGGTTCAGGGTTTGGTGGAGTTTTTAGGTCTTAGTCTCACCAGTCTGTGCTGAGAAGGGTCTTTGTTATTGTTGGTGGCTTTGGGGGCTTTGTCTTAGACGGGTTTGGGGGTTTCTTATGCCGCTTGTTGCTTCAAGGTCTTTAACTCTTTTAAGTGTCGTTGCTTGTCATTAAGGGTGCCTTGGGGATATTTGTCTCGTGGCTTTTGTTTTTGTTCGAAGGGGTACAGGGTGTGTTGTCGACGGGGACTTCTAATGCCCAATTCTGTATTACGCCCTTAGAGCGCTTACGCTCACTCCTTCGTAGGTCCTTGACCTTGAGCCAGCAAGTCTGTCTTGTGCTTGATACAAAGTTCACATGAACAAGAGAGGCCACTGTCCTGTTCTTGGCTTCAGGTAAGTGTGTTGAGAGTATGACGGTGCATGGTCCATACAGCCAGTACACAGGGGTCTGAACAACTCCGAATACTCAAAGGGGTAAAGGAGGGACCCTTAATGGGGACCCCTACCCTATAATGGGCTATATAATGGGTATATCATAGCTATATTAAGGGTATATACCTAGGGGTCCTTATTAAGGGTCCCTCTTTTTACCCTTGGAAATACGATTCCCTTGCGATTCTTACAGCAGAGTCATTCCATCAATGCTCGACTAAAAGAGCCACTTTGAGCCCCAAACGAGTTTAGGACCCCCCCCCCAGTCGTTAGAGCGCAGAATTGAGTTTAGGAAGTCTATGAAAGTATTTGCTAGCGGTTTGAGGTTGTTGTGGGTTTCGAGACTAGGAATCGATTAGTTATAAAACTCCCGTAGTACGAATGAATATGAAGCTGAGCAACAGGAAAAGTGTACTCTCGTTCACAGGGGCATTATGAGGAACTATGCTTCATTGAGATCCTAGACGGCCCTAAGCGGCAGTAGTGGTTTCGCAGCAGCCCCCCACGAATCCAAGCATGCAGATGGTATTTACTTTTGTGTCGGCTAAACCCTAATACCCTAAACCGTACTACCCTAACCCGCTACCCTAACCCGCAAAGTCTCTAAACAGTACGATTTCTCTGCTTTTTGGAATCAGAGGCACCTAAATCTTCAACGAACACAGCATTTCAAGGAGACGCGGAGGATTACTTAATCACCGGTACCTTACACCTGGAGTTGGCTCAAGTCGCCAGATGGGTTATGTTCAATTTTGTTAAGACTTGGGGGAGTGCTCGTCAGACAGCAGTCATGACTGCGCTGTTGGGTTACGATTACGACGGTTACGATTAACTGTAAGATTTGGAGTTAAGGACAGACCTGGATAACGAATCCTAAGCCCTAACGGCACGGCATCTTCCACGCAGGGTGGTGGCCCAAGGATTGAAGTCAAGATCGCATATCATGTTGGCCAAGCATGGGACATTTTTGGATGGGTGCACGGCATGGAGTGCTCCTACTTGTAGCAGTTAAGCTCGAGTATTTTTTTCAATGCACTTAACTTTTACCGAAAGCCCAGTTCTTGGATTCATCTGTACAGATGCCTAGGAACTCTGAATACGGTTTCTAGTTCGCAACATCTGGAAGTCTGACGGGAATACTGTAGGGGCCTTTATAATTAGAGTAGGGTTTGGGGGTATAGTATACTATAGTTACAATAAGGAACCCTAAAACCCTATTCTAATTATTAAAGCCCCTCCATTACTTGCAGAAGTATGTCGGAATCCAGCCCTTTGCTGCCAGAAGAGGTATAACCAGGCTCTCGGATGGTAGCCCAAGAGTCGCCGCCCTCGTAGTCTTATGGATTTTAGGGCTTTAGTTTGCATACTATTCTGGTTGATTTCTAGTTTGCCTCATTGTTTAAATTATTTAGAGACCTACTTGTAAGATTGTAAAAATCCTGGGAACTGTTGAAATTGACACTTACTTAGCGTTGAAATTGACACCGAGTATAGGATTGAGACGACTCCTTGGGCAATCTTCCATGGCCGACGCCACGTCCAAGAAGCCTTCTTCCCGTGCCGCCCACCGGCGCGGGACGCTGGTGCTGCTGCTGCTATTCGGCGCGCTCCTGGGATGCATGTGGGGGTGCGGAGTTTACGGTTTAGGATTTCGTTTAGGCATCGAAGAGGCTCAGGCAAGGTAGCTCGAAGAAGAGACTCCCTGCTGTTGAAAGCCCATTTTGTTACCAGGGCTACATGTATAACAAGTACAGGGAACTCCAGAAAGTTGGAATATGGATTAATGGTAGGATCCCCTATAATTTACCTTAAAGGGGTTACGATAATGATATTCCAACTTTCAGGCTTCTACTGTAAGAGACTGCGGTGAGTGCTTGGTAAGTGCAGTAGTGCTACCGTATGCTTCCTCGACCAGAACAAGCCCTGCCCAAGGCTTTTTGAGCCCCACAGCCTAGCTATGATGTACCCTTGTAATCCCAATATCACTATACTACAGTAGAAGCCAGAAAGTTGGAATATCATGATCGTAATCCCTTTAATGTAAATTATAGGGGATCCTACCATTAATCCATATTCCAACTTTCTGGAGTTCCCTTTAGCATACGCGCCCCCCAGAAAAATGTTTTAAGGATCAAGGCCCAGGGTGCTGGTGCAAACTCTGCATGCAATTCGACAGGGCGGGGGCCTAGAACTTCTCGCCGGCTGATGAATACATCGTCTCTGCGCGACACTCTGAACAGCTTCATTGCGATCTACCCAAATTTGCTGCCCCGAGGTCCGTAAGTGCTACCTATCATCTATGAGTTACTGGGCACTTGCGCGCTAACCCCTGGCCCTAAACCTACACTAGGTAGGGCTTTGGGACATTTTATTTTTCCCTTATTGGGCTTAAGAGGATCTTATTTACCAAAAATTTTCAAAGGCTCTAAAAGCCCCACCTAGTTTAGTACACTCTTAGGTCGTCAACCTCCTTGGAGCAGCTATACAGGGCACAAACAGCTGCCCAGACCTTTTGAAAGTTCCTGAATTAAGGAGTATACCTACTTCATATTGAGGATCCTGTTAGGTATATGGGCGGTTGTCAAGATTAGGGTCCCTTTTTGGGTCCTTATTTAATACGGCACCTAATATTTAGGGGACCCAAAAAGGGACCCCAATTTTGACAACTACCCAGATGTCTTCATTAAGGGATTTGAGAAGTATACCTTACTTTATATTGAGGATCCTGTCATAATTTAAGTTGTATGTCTTCATTAACTACTATTTGCTTAAGAACCCCCAAAAAAATAAAAATAATCCCTATATTATTCCCATAAGGAATATGTTTTTTAAGTTTTTTGGGGGGGTTCTTAAGCAAATAGTAGTTATAGGGCTAAAAAAAAGGATTTTGGAAAGTCTGCGTGGGCAGCCCTAAGGTTCCTAGCAGCTCCCGGCGGCCGCTTTGAGAGCTTCGCCCTTCCAGGAGAGCTTTGTCGGTTTGGGGTTCCGGGGCTTCGGGCTGAGTACTAACCCATGACGAAAGCTGGGTTCTGTTAAAAGATTTAAGGTAGGCTGCCATGATACAGAAACCATATTATTGACGATAGATCCCGAGTATGGTAATCTAACTAAATTAGGTCTTAAGTCCTTTCACGGTCTAAGGTTTAAGCTTTAGGGCAGCCCTAAACCCTAAACCCAGAAAGTGCTGGCAAGAGGACTGTCGCAAGTCGGAGGGCTCCCTGCGAGGTGGCGACCCGGCTGGGCCTGTAACATGGGATTCGTATCATGTTGAGTGTTGGTTCGTTGTAATAGGATTGTCCAGGTGTGTAGAAGGTTAGGGTTTTCAGAAGATGTTGGGCTTTATAGGTTCCGATAAGGCATTGTGAGTCAGGCTTTAAACTGTGTTTCAGCATGTTGGGGTTTGGGCATTAGGAGCTAGGATGCCCAGTAGTACCCTTATTCCCTTTTTGTAGTCCTAGGTTCCTGATAAAGTTACCCAATACCAAAAAGAGAGGCCTTTTCATTCTTAGGTTACTGGGTATCCCACTTGGAGGCCCTTTTGACTTAGTAAGTCTACTTAGTATCCCCAAGAAACCCAATTATACTCCCCATAACCCACCTTACTAACCCTACTTCCTAAGCCAAAAGGGCCTCCAAGTAGGCCATCAGGGTTCGCGGTGGGATTAGGGTTTCAGGGCCCCGGGGGATGGCTTTGTCTTACACGGCGGGGTCATCTGCCGGGATTCTGTATGGTTTCAGGGCTACAGTCGCGTTTCGGGGCTTCGGGGGGTTGGTTAAGGTGTCTGCATTTATATAGGGAAATTAATCAGAGAATTAATTAATCAGAGAATATTATCTCTGTAGCACCTGTATGCTCACACTGACGGGTCTAATTTCTATTTCCGTCTCATACTACGGCCGAAGGACAGCTGACTAAGGCTTTCAGCCCCACCACCCTACAGCCCGAGGCTGTGATATTATAGTGGCTGAAAGAACTAGGCTATGCTAGTCCGGTTCACTATTTATGTTCAATCAAGTCATGAAGCTCCTAGAGGGCCTTCTTCATCCTATTTGGGTGCAGCTAGTACGCCAGCACCCTCTTCCGTCCTGTCCCCAGCACCCGAGGGGTCCTGAGCTGAGCCGCCTCGCAAAACCGAATTCCCAATGCGCAGGGCTGTGGGCTTTAGCCCTAAGGGTCCATGTACCCATATAGTATATACTTAGGCTTTAAAGTACCTATATTGTAGGGACCCCTTTAAGGATTAAGTATCTACTAGAAAGGTACATGGAGCCTTTGGGTAGAGGGTTTAGAGGTCATTCCTGGGAACCCTTGACTAGAGGTTTGCAGAATTCGTAAACATATTTTCAGTCCTTATATACTTCTGTACCGACAAACCCGTTCCAATCGCATGACAGGGCTCCTAAATTCGTGTCTCCCTCAACAGCCCAAGCGAGGTTCGGGGATTCCATTCTTTGCGTCGACTGCGCAGCCCAGCTTCCACCCAGCCTGGGCGACGCCCGATTTGAAATAAGAGCTAAGGGTTGCGGGTTGAAGGTGTAGGCTACGGTTAGGGTTCGTGCATTGCAGGTTGCTAGGCCGGAACAAAACCCTGAACTCCAGTGCGATTGCTACCGGAATATGGTTTAAGGACACTATAGGGGTAAATGACTGGGGCGTGCGATTTAGGGTTGGCCGGGGGGCTTGTTATCATGTGCGGCTCAAGCAGAACCAACCATGCCTTCGTGCATGGACATTTTTGCGCAGCAGGCTTTCTGGCGCAATCCTTCCCGCAGTAGGTTCATTCATCGGTTACTTCTGGTTTAGAGTTTAGGACAATGCTTCGGGTGTGTTTTGGGATTGGGGTACCCCCAACTTGTGTAAGAGTGCAAGATCCCTACAGGACTTGGCAGAACCCCAAAAGCTGTTTCGGGAGAGCTCGTCGCACCCTTCGCAAAGGATCCATGTACCCAGCTAGTATAGTCTTTGGCCCCAAAGTACCAATACTGGGCCTACTGTAAGGCCTAAGTATACTATTTGGGTACATGATTGAGACGTAAAGAAAAGACAAACTCCAACCCGCAAGCCCCGGCCGGCTAGGTGGGTGGAAACCCTAAACCCTAAACCCTAGTTGGAGTAGGGTTCCTACAAGGGATCAACAAGGGTTCTAGAAAAGGGACCTTAATGATTATGAGGGTTCCTTTCTTGTGGTTTACCGTATACTGTGGGGGCCTTAATCATTGGAATAGGTATTTGTGGGTTCCTTTAGCATACTTGCAGTACAATCTCCCACTAAACCATATTCTGTTTATTATTAAGGCTCCTACATTAGACCGCAATGGCCTCAAGACTGAAACTATCAGGTGGATACAATCCTCCTCACCTGGAGAATACGACGGGGAGGGCGCCGAATCCCAAAGCCCTAAGGCCCCTAAATCCCCTACATCACCTAGGGTTTAGGGTTTAGGGTTTAGGGTTTAAATCCCCTAAATCCCTAATCCCCAAAGGCACGCCAGAAAGAAACAACAAACAACATGCCCAACTTCCACATGAATCCCTTGTGAGACTCCTCCCAAGACAGCAAAAAAAGACGTGGTAGGAAGTTTAAGAATCCCCGATTCAAAACTCAGAAACCCCTAAACTTCAGAACCCACCACTTGGAATGCTTTGAAACACGGCGAAGCTTGAACGCAAGTTTTCAAAACTTGTTAAGGACTCCTGTAAACCCGACACCCACATGATGGCTTTGCGAGGAGAGTTTGGTCCGTTCTTGCCGAGAGCTTCAGGCACAAAGTAGGCGGCCCGACACCAGGTTGTTGATCGTTCTTTTGCGCAGTGTTTGGGGTCTGAGATGTCTACCCGAGTCTACCCCAAAACCCTGGACCTATACCCTATAACTTATAACCATACACGCTGGGGGATGCGCGCTGTGGGCTTGGGGGGAAATTACGGGTGTTCGAACTAGTGGTCTAGTGGTCGTTCACACTTCTTGGGCTGAATGCTCGAAGGCCGCGAGGGTTTGAGGGTTGTGGGCTTGGTCCTTCGGATTTGGGAGTTTCCGAGCACTAGGGGTACCTTATTTGGGGCTCCTTATAAGGATCCTACTATCTAGGGTGCTATATTAAGTTACCCTATTTTCGGCAACTCCCATTTGTTTAGGGTCTGTTTAGAGACTGGGATTGGGCATTCCCCACTCCATAGGATAGTACATAGTAGTGCATTTTCAAGGCTGTCTTTCGATGATGAATCGAATCTGGGGAGGGCTATTGCATGTAGGGGCTTTTGTTTTTCGGAGTGCAGCACCACCATCCTTCTAAAGCCATGAACCCCAAACCCTAAGCCCATCACCTAGAGGACACTGCGGGCTCGAGTTTGCTCGGCTCCCACGCAACGATCAAAGTATCGTTAGACAGATGGTCGTTTGGCAGCTCTGCTTCCATGTTTGATGGCGGTTTTGTGTTTGCGGGCCTTCAGGATTTTCGTGTTATGTGGCTCAACTGGGACGGCCCAGAATCCTGGGGTGGTTATCACCAACGAGCGGGCCAGGACAGCACCAACGGCGGTGCTAGGATGCCCTATGCTTTACTTTAAAGGCATAACTTTCTTTTTTGCTTCTACTATGGACTGAAACCCTAAGCCCGTGAAACCTTGGCCCATTACCCAAAGCTTACCTTTGGTTAGTAGGGAACGCAAGAATGGTAGTAATAGCAGCTATATTTGTACCCCATTCCTCCATTCCCTGCTAACCCAAGGTAAGAAAGCCGTCCTTCCGAGCCGTGCCTGGAATGCCCGAGTGTGAGTTCCCAAATAATTTAAATCCTCAAGCCCAGGAACCAAAAAAGGAGCTTCAAGCAACACAAGCAAAGAGTCTTTTTAGGGCCTAGGGCTTATGGTTTGATGATATTTAGGGGGATACTTGAGGTGTAACCTCTAGAAGACCAAGTCCTAGAGCCTAGAATGGAATGTTTAGAGCCTAGGGCTTGGGATTTTTAGGAGGATACTTGAGGTGTAACCTCTGAGAGGTTACCCTAAACCCTAAACCCTAAACCCTAAACCCTAAACCACAGACAAAGCCATAAATCCGAACCCCCCTTACTCTCGAAGACCAACCTGCTTTGCTGACGCCAGGGGCCGGAAGGTCAGCAACAACGGCGGCTGGCAGAGCCAGGATCCGGGCCTCTTTGACATGGCTTCAAAAAATGTGGGAGCTTCCGAAAATTGGGGGGGGGGGGGTACCTTATTTTAGGGTACTAATAAGGATCCTACCACTTAGGGCACTATATTAGGGTCCCTTATCTTGAACCCTAGAGAGGTAGGTAAAATAATGGCCCAAAACCTCTCAAGGGCCATTATTCTACATACCTTTGTGGGGTCCAGGATGCCAGTATAGTGAAATCCAGAAAGTTTGAGCGTGGATTTAGGATGATCAGTGCGAGGATCCCTATACTTATCTCAGGGGTATTTAGGATAATGATGCTCTAGCTTTCTGGCTTCTCCAGTAGGGTGTTTCTTGAGTTTTCTCGAATCGCGGGATCTTCCGTTATTCTTGAACAACAGGATCTAATTTGAAGCACGGGATCGTCTGTTGGGGTTTCTTGAAGAACAGGATCTAGTCTTGAGCTTACCCAGAGGCTCCATGGTAGTTCCTTTTTGGGATTACCTTATAGGATTCTCTATATGAAGCCCAAAAAGGAACTACTTTGGAGCCTTAGGGTAATTTGTCGGAAAGCACCGAACTTGCGTGCAGCGCGCTGGTGTTTTGGGCTGAAGGGGTTTCCAGCCTGGGAGTTTCCGAAAATTAGGGGTACCTTAGTTTGGGGTCCTTATAATAAGGATCCTACTATTTAGGGTACTCTGTTAGGGTCCCATGTATTCGGAAACTCCCACTTTCGAGTGTGCGATTACGGGGTTCAGGGTTCCGGGGTTTGTGCTGAGGGATTTAACCCTTGAGGCATGTCCATTGTAGTTTCCTTTTTTTGGCTTTCCCCATATACATATGTATGTATACTGAGGATCCCATAAGGTAACCCCAAACTTCTAAAAGGAACTACGATGGAGACTATAGATGGTGCAGACGTTCCAATGTAGAGGTTCCGGGTTCCAGTTATCTCAGAGTCTGTAGTGTAGGGGCCTAAATAATTGCCAACACCATTTTGAGGGGGCTCCTTAGTATAATCTTGGACCTAGAGTAGGCCCTTATTCCCTTTTTAAGGGTTCAGGTTCCTTTACAAGCCCCTTTAAACCAAAAAGGGCACCCTTTTTATTCCTAGGGTACTCTTGGGTCTAGTAATCTTAGTATACTGGGCCCCAAAGCCCATTCTGATTCACCCTTATATTAGTGTCTTGTCGGGTCGAAGTTGATGGCTCCATGTTCATGGGTGATCGAGGCATGAATGGGAGATTGCTTCAGGAGTCCCAAAGGCTTTTGAGGTTTTGGATTTTGGGCTAAGGGTTTAGGGTTACCTTCATGCGGTTGTGTGTGCTTTTGGAGGATCTGCCTCTGGACGACAACTTGGGCACGTGACTTGTCCGACGATACAACATCAGGCGATGCTAGTCTCTCCGAATGCAGAGCCCTGACTACCGGCATCCTTGTTAGAAGGACCGCCAAACAATCACGGGGCACCCGTAATCTGCTGAGGCCCCCCGGAGTGGAGTGTTCCAGCGCAGAACCCTTGCCCTGATCTACAAAAGGCAAGGTTGTGCTAGGTCCACGAATCCATGTAATTATCCATGTGTGTGTGTGTGTGTGCGTGCGTGCGTGCGTGCGTGCGTGCGTGCGTGCGTGCCGTGTGCATATATGTCAGTATGTCGTGTAGTCATTTCATGTCATGTCATGTACGCATGTAAGTATCGAACACCGTCGAACAGCCCCGAACGATTGATTCCCAAGCCTGATAGTCTTAGTGGCCAGAAAGACCGCAAGGATCTTTGAACTATTTGGGGTTTTCCTGAGTCCCACTTAAAGGCCAGATCCTTTCGTTCAGATTTTTTGGTTTCGGAGTTTGGGGGCGGAATTCCAAGGCTCCTGACCCTACAGTAGAAGCCCAAAAGTTGGAAACCCCATAGCCTCAATCCTTAAGAGCAATGTATAGGGAACCCCAGCACTATTTGGCCTTAACCCGGTTTCCAACTTTCTGGGGTCTACTGTAAACCCCTAAACCCTATAGATACCTTATGGATCCCCTTTAAAGGAACCCCCATAGATCCCCTTAAGGATCCTTAAGAAACCCCTAAACCCCTCTGTTTCCATCTTTATAAAGGGGACCCTAAGCATTCCTCGGCTCCTGGATTTGGTGCCCCCGCTCAGTAACAGTTGGACAATATTCAGAACATACGCATATGAGAGTTTCCGAAAATTACTGTAGGGGTACCTTATTTGGGGGGTCGTTGTAGTAAGGATCCTATTATTTGGGGCACTAGATTAGGGTCCCCTATTGTTCAGTAACAGTTGGATAATATTCATAATTCCAAAGGGCCCATGTGCCCATATAGAGATACATGAGCCCCAAAGTAGCTATATAGTGACTACATCAAGGCCAATGTATATACTATAAGAGTACATGGACCCTTAGGGAGTATAGACATATTAGGACCTTAAGTGTAGCCCTATTATAGATTGTTACTGTATGGAGGGCAGTACCCAACCCAGGCTCCTGGATGTGGTGCAAGGCCCGGCCAAGGAATATCTTGACACCATGGGCTGGCGCTATCCAGACGAGGCCTGGCGCCAGGCTGCCTGAACCCTAAAGATAGGGACCCCCCAAAAGCACATAAGCATAAATAATCATTTTAAAGGGATATCCCTACCTTGTTCGGCTTCATTATGAGGGGATTTATATGGGATATCCCTATCCTCATTTTTGCTCATGTGCTTTTTCGGGGCCCTAAAGAAATCTATGCTTCAGGATTCCTGAAATGTGGTTCCCTTGTAGAATATGGGCTTTGGTTGTTGGGTGTGAGGTCGTCTGCTTTAGGGGCCTGCGGGTTTAGGGTTTAGGCGGTTTAGGGTTTAGGGTTTAGGTTTAGGGGCCTGTGAATTGCAATCTTCTGGCTTTATGCATGACTTAAAATATACTCCTAAACACCTAAAATATACTCCTAAACCCCTAAAGTATACTACTTGGCCATCGGGCTGTTTTGAGGTGAAGGTTGATCATTACAAGAGTTTCAGGGGGATTGTCTCGGACTGGTGTCTTCTTTGTCTTTGGGGGGTATTCGGAGGAGAGAGACTTCACACCCAACAACAAAAGCGCATATCCTACAAGGGAGCCACATTTCAGGAATCCTCAAGCGTAGATTTCTTTTAGGGCCCCCAAAAAGCACATTATTCAGCCAGTTGAGCAAGGCTAGGACGACGATTACAGCTTTATATAGGGTTTAGGCATTGAGGCTTTCCAGGCTGTGGTCTCAAGTAACAAGGGGGCAAGGTTTTCTGGAGAAGATGGCTTGAACCTGTAGCAGCTAATGATGATTAAACCCGAGCCACTCAATCGTCAACCCCGGACGGGCTCAAATGTCTTTGACTTGATGATGTCGCTGGACAATCCATGTAGCGTGAATGCGTGCGAACAATGCAGCAACTTGCACTACTTTGGGTTAGATGAGCTTGTTGGATTTGGGGTGTTCAGACCCAGATGGGTTCGGCGACGAGCCCACAGCGCTGGACCGATGTTACAGTTTGAGGCAGGTTGATGGGCCTCAGCCTTACCAGTCCCTGAACCCTGCACCAGAGAGGCCCTCGCTGCAGGGCCTTAGTATCTTGCGAATATCCTGCACCTTCAACCTCAAGCCAAAAACAAAACCCTGAGCCCGGGGTAACCTCAAGATGTTACTGTGCTGACTATGGTTTCCATAGGATGTCAGATTTCGGGATTTCAGTGGATGAGGAGCCCATCGGCGACGGTGGGCTGGAGATTGCAATCGTGGCAGACAGGCAGGACGCCCGAACGCAAGACCCTAAACGGTATGTTGAGCAGGATCCCCATGTACGCAATTTTGCTTCTTTTCTTCAGGGGTGGGACACGGACTGGGGGACTTCGTACAGGATCTGAGCTTTAGGACCTTTCGGTTTCATGGCTTCCGCAGCAAATCAGAAATCCACAACACCTTTGTTTACCTTGAAGCCTGCATACCCTGCAGACCCAAAACCGAAACACTAAGTAAGCCACTAAGCCTTAAGCCCTGCAGCACTGAAACCCTATAACCCCTCAACCCCAAAATACCGAATCCTTCAAGCTTGGAGTCTTATATAAATCTTAAAACCCAGCGTCACTTTGAGTTGTCGGGTCAAAATGTTCTCTTAGGATCTGAGCTATCAATCGTTAACGAAAACCTCTGCCTGAAGAACCTCCTGTCTTGTAAGGGACTATATAATTTTCGGACTCTGTCAACATTCCGCCGTTTATCAATAAGGAGCTACCTCGACATTTGCATATCTGCAGCTTATGGCCTTGATAATTCCGAAGATCGCATCAAGGGTGCAGCGCAAGCTTAAACAGATAGCCGAACGGCCTCCGCCGCCAAGCTTCTAACACTCTAAAGCTCGATCTAAGACAAACCGCTTCTCGGATCCGTGCGAGACGAAGAAGGGACGTTCACAAAAAAAACAACTCGATCTCAGGCCGAAGAGTCAGCACCTCAACAGCCCATCCCTCCTAAAGCTACAATATATAGCCCAAGCCCTACCTGGAGCACCCCCCAATGTGCTCCCTTTTGTTTCCCACGACCCCGAAACCAAAACTTTTTGGTAACACCCAAAATTATTGGTTTAACCATTTTCGTGTTTGAAGATAACCGAAGCAGATAGCTCCATAGAGTAATTCAAGCTCTGCAGCCACCATGGGTGCAACATACGAAGAACCAGGGACCGCTTAGAAACCTCCAGTGCGCAATTCCATGTTCGAGACTCAGCAGCATATACATCGTGACAGAGCCCCCCCCCCCTTCCTCGAGCCTCCAAGGTGCTCCTTTTTAACTTGAGAAGCCCGAAACCTAACACAGCTGGTGGTACTTGAAGTTTATAAGCTCCAAGTCCGAGAGGCCCCAGCCCCCACTTGGAGGATCAGGGACTTAGTATGTAAGGTTATAAGTACCTTAACTGGGGTTATAAGTATGGTTGCCGTATTCATAACCTTACTAAGTCCCATGACCCTCTAAGCACAGGCTATGGGCGAATATCAATCGTCCCGGAGACTGGAATTCACGGCACACGCACGGCAGCCACTGAGCCGGATTGTGGTAAAGTAGGAATGCGGTTGATAATCTGGTGTGGCCATTTTCGGGGCTGTGGTGGGATAGGTTTTTGTATGTTGAAGTTGTTGCTTTGCGACTGTGGTGATGTGACCCATCCTCAAGCCTGGGCCCTAAACTCGCCCAAACCGTCTTCGTTGAGGAGGTCAGACCACGGGTCTACATGTTCAATTGCAGTCAGTTGCAGTCTCTGAACCTGTCCGAGGCATTCGTAACGTCAAGCCCTCAAATTGTCCCTGCCCGTAGAACGTAGACTGATGCCTTTTTTGTGCTTTCTGGTCCTGTAAGTGCCTTACCTCCACGCCCAGAGGACTGACCGCTTCTTGGGATCCATGCGAATCGAAGAAAAGGGGCCGTTAAAAAAAAAAAAAAACTCAAACTGTTTTTGGGACCCATGGAGGCGTTTTGCCTTTGCAAGTTGTACGTGGGCCGGGTATTTCGAAATTCGGGTTGTGTGGATTTGAGCTTTCGTTTAGGGCTTCGCAGCGGAGTGCCGCGCACTTGGGTCTTGAGGGGTCGGCTTGCCGATATAGCATTCAGGTCATTTTCGAGGGCCAGATACTCTTCTCAGGACCCACCGATTCGCTCTTCGCTGCGGCTGTGTACTATCCGCAGGTTTCGCCAAGGACTTCTTCTTGTTTTTTCGCGGGTCTCCCTTAGGAGCCATCTTCATGTTTACTGTTGCAATATGAGCCCGAAAAGTTTTAACCAGTAGTGTGTTAATATTTGGCCTATTAGTTCGTTCATGCTTATCGTCGCGTTTGGGTCTCTGTGCTGTTTTTGGTTGGCCGGGCAACATCCTCTAGGTGCCACACTATTACCTTCTGTTTCGTCATGTACAGTAAACCCCATAAAGTTGAAAACCGGACTAAGGCCAAATTGTGCAGGGATTCCCTATACATTACTCTTAAGGATTGAGGCTATGGGGTTTCCAACTTTTGGGCTTTTCGTGTATGGGTTTCCTTCTTGAGACTCGACAAGGAAAATGCGGTAGCAAGGATCCCCCGCGGGTGTTTTTCTGGAGATTCAAGTCCCTACACCAAGACAAGACATGGTGCCCCGAGGATATAGGCGCCCGAAAAACAACCTGGACCATGGTGGGGGTTCCTTGTTATAATTACATGAGTATAATGGGTCCCCAAACCCTATTCTAATTATTAAGGCCCCTGCTATAGAACCTTACTATAGATCCCTTTAAAGGCCTTTAAAGGACCCCTTGAAAAGGAGCCCTATTCTAAATGTTAAGGCCCCTTTTCTTAGGCTTTATAGGCTTCGGTGTCCCGGGGTCCTTCGGCTCGACTTTCGTACACCCTCAACATCCGTGCAAGGCCAACCATAAGACTGTGGCGACCAGTGCTATAGGGACATAGATCAACGAGGGGGTTTAGGGTTTAGGGTTTAGACCCCTACTTTCCTGAAACTCCCAGATGATGGCCGATATTATTGTGGGGGTTCCGCATTACAGTATAATATACCCGAAAACCCCATTCTAATCATTAAGACCCCTATACTATACTACTTGCCTGGCCGTCTCGACGTGTTTTCAATTCAGATCATTCATCGAGACCTCGTTACAACACGTGACAGTGATCAGAATGCCAAATTCGAATTTCTGCTAAAGGTCACTTATAAGCCGGAGAAACACCAGCGTCCAGTCGCAAAAATATTTAGACATGACGCGGCTGAAGCCCCACTCCCGAAAGGCTAAGACCCTAACACCGCCAACTTAAATCCACAAAACAGCAAACGAAAACCCCCAACCCTAAACCCTAAATCCACAGAACAGCAAACGGAAGCGGAAAAGCCCAGGACCAGTGCGGCGAGGCCGGCGCGGCTTCTGATCTACCCACGCAACAGCGACCCAGTACCCGTCACACCGGCCGCTAGCCCTGGAGGGTGCCGCTTTAGGGAGTGGGCTTACCAGGCTTACCTGGAAAAGGCCTACTCTTTTAAGTGTTCCTGTTCGGCGGTTTCTTGCTACCGTTCCTCGAAAGGGTGAGTTTTGAGGCACCAGGATTGGGAAAGTGGAAATGCGTGAAGCCCAAAATTCCTAAATCCTATAGATCTTATACATGATCGTACACCCTAAAGCATAAACATATCTATATGCATGTATAATATATATATATATATGTTTATATATCCTAAACCCCTAAATAGCAACCCCTATGCCCGAAAGAGTCCTCCGAGCCCGAGGCAACGGGCCTTCTGGTGCTCTTTCCCGTGGACATGCCCCACGAGGCCCGTGTCGTTACGGGACTCAGGTGGCATTGGTTTTGGGTTTAGGGTTTAGGGGTTTAGGGAAAGGCGGCTTGGAATATCGGTGCTGCATGTCGGCCTCGGTCAAGATGATTGTGGGTCGTAGACTGGCTAGACTTGGGTCCGGTGGCAAAAAGGGGTTTAGGGTTTAGGGTTTCAAATTGGGGGTGTCACGGGCCTGAGTTGTCACTAATGTTTCTCCGCAGGGTTGCAAATTAAGTATGTGCGGCTTTGGGGGGTCATCGGCTGTGTTCTAATTATGAATAGACCGCTGTATCAGGGCGTATACGGTTTTTCATTGCAGCTGCAGAGGCATCCTTCAAGAACCCTGCACCTGTCCCTTCTGCAAGTGATGTACCCAGACCTTCCAAGATCCTTTAATTAAGGAATATACTTTAAATTCTAAGAGGACTATATGAATTAAGTATATTCCTCAATTAAAGGATTTTGGATGATCTGGGTAGGTTGAAGCTTCTCCACGCGGAGCCGATGAGCGTGTTTCCTATGCGCCACCTGAGCAGAGAATACGACGGGTTGGGATAAGTCGGGATTCAGGCCTGGCGGTTTCCATTCCGGATTGGTTTGGTCTGTCGGATGTCTATGGTAGAGGTCTTATTTCTGCACAAACAAGGCAACCCGAAAACTTGGGAGGCGCGGGCCATTCGTAAAATCTTGCTATCCCAGCTTTGAGTCTTTTGCCGTGCACCACTTCCTGGGAGAGCGAAAGTTGGCAGACGGAAGCAGTTGCAGTCACCTCCCTCTAAAAACCCAGAAACTCTATGAGCACCCTGATCCTATGCCCGAAACTTTCCTAAACCCTAAGCAAAAACTGAACCCTAAACTTTCCTAGACCCTAAGCCCTAGACTTTCCTAAACTAAACCCTGAACAAAACCTGAACCCTGTGAGCCCTAGACTTTCGAAAACTGAACCCTATGGGCCCTTTTCTTTCCTAAAGCCTAAACACAAAACTGCCCAGAGGCCCGATAGTAGTTCCTGTTTGGGATTACCCTATAGGGTTCTATCTATGAACCCCGAAAAGGAACTACTTTGGGGCCTTTGGGTGAAGCCTACTTAAAGGCTCATGGGACTTAGTAACTAGGGTTATAAATAAGGTAACTACACTTTCAAGTATACTTATAACCCCAATTAAGGCACTTATAACCCTACTTACTACGTCCCATGATCCTTTAAGTATGGGAACCCTGATGCGGCGCCTGTTTGGCCCCCCCGAGGTTCAACCTCGAAGCGCGCTGGCTGCCCGGTCCTTTGCTGCAAGCGGCCTTCCGAGGTGATGCCGACAAGGCCTGGCTTGCCTCTCTTTTTGTAGGGATCTAAGCGCTCACATATAAAGGCTTTTAGGCCCAAAGACCATACTGTGTAAGGCTTTTGGGTTATTTTGATCCCTTGGGTCTTTTTGAGGGGGGGGGGGGGGGGATTTAGGGTTTAGGGATTTAGGAGTTGTAGGTTTAGGGGTATAGGGCTTAGGGTGTAGGGCTTAGGGATCACGTAGGATTCTAGGGGCTGTGAGTGTCGATAACAACACTATAGCGCCCAAGTAACAGCATCCATAAAAGCTTCGCTTAAAACGCATAACCCACCCCAGTAAAGCATTATACTTAAACCCTTTCTTCATCCTCAAGCAACCTCCTAAACCCGACAAAGACCCCGCCACTCTTGAGAAAAACTTTCCGAACTGTCCAACAAACAGACAACGACCTCACAACAAAGACACAAGAAGCGCACACCACCCCTAGACTCCAAAAGTCGAAACCCTATAACTCTTGAAGCCCTGAAAAGAATGACCTAGCCTTGCACCTCTAAACTTTCAAACCCTTTGCAGACCCGGAGCGTCCTAAAAAAGCCTTATCAAAGCGCTCACACGGTTCTACTCTCAGCCCCTCATCCTGGGGATCAACATAGCCCAGAAGCCTTACACAGTATGGTCTTTGGGCCCAAAAGCCTCAATATATGAGTGCTTAGATCTCTAGGGCTAGGCCCTAAACCCTAAACCTTGAGGTCTCGACTTTGGCAGCCAGAGACCCTGCGGCCCGGGATGCCCTCCTTGGCCGCTCCGCCGCGCAGCTCGCGGCGGAGCGCTGGGTGTGCAGTTCTTTCCGCTCTCACCCTGGGTGTAAGGGTTTGTTTGGCGCCTTAGTAAATGTAGAAGCCAGAAAGCTGGAACATCACGATCCTCATGCCCTTAAAGGAAAGTATAGGGAATCCTAGCAATCACCCTTAATCCATGTTCCAACTTTCGATCTGCACGATGCGAACCCAGAGCACCTTTCTTACGTTGAGTTACCCTGAAGCCCAAAACCCTCAGAACTCCTAGTCCTAGAAAGTAAACCCCAGAACCCTCAAGCCCGAAACTCGCACGGCCCAAATTGACATCGTTTTCTGCCAGGAGCAGGGCCATGTTGCGGTGCTGGAGGCGACGGTCGGGTTCAGGGACCTTAAACACCTTCATAAAAGCTTGGGCCACTAACCTCTACGGCCGACAAGCCCTAAGCCTGCCCTAAACCCGAAACCATGTTTAAAGAAAAGCCTAGACCACTGTCACTAGAAACCCTAAAGCTTGTAATCCCTAAACCCTTTACGGTTTACGGTTCAGGGGGCTTAAGCCGCCAGCCACTGAACCCCGAAGCCCAACAAAGCTCATGCAGCCCATGAGACACAGCCCAGGCGCTCGTGTCGGCCAAAGCTGAGCTTTCTGCCCTCGAGGTACCGAGCCAGATCGGTGGTTCCATACCCTATAATGGCTTCGTGTACCTATTTCGTACATACTTAAGCTTTGAAGCGTTCCTATATAGGTATGGAGCCTTATAGGGATACAGGATTCCTCAAGCAGACGGGGTCTAAACTCAAGGGGTTTTGAAAAAGAGTTCTATAGGATTTATGCTGAGGATGAAACTCAAGGGCCTAGGGTTTAGGGGCTGAGGGATGCAGGATAGTGTTGGTAGCAGTATTGGTGAATTGCTTTGGTTACCGCCAGGGGGTCTCTGCGTTCCTTAGGTAGACTCCGGAGGGCCTAGGCTTCAGAATTAGGGTTTAGGGGTCTAGGGTTTAGGGCATGCATACATATTATTGACATAGCAACAAAGGTGACGACAACAGCAAGAATCATACTCTTGATCATAATCTTGGCCATAACCATAGTTAGTAATGCTAGCAACATATTTTACTAGTTAGTTTTATTTTTTATATTAACACAAAAATTATAGACAACAGTGATGATCGGTTAGAATAGTAATCAATAACAAAATGCATTACTCAGGCTTCACTTCGGGTTAGTAGGGTGTCTGTGGAGCGCAGCGGCCAGCACCACCAAACTCAGCCGTTCTACATGGTCAAGGTCCTCAAGTACTAGTGACTAGTGAGATTCCCGAAGTCTCCAATTCTCATTGTGTCATGTCGCGGCTATCCTAAACCCTAAACCCTAAGCCCTAAACCCTAGGTTTCACTGTGGTTAGCTTCGGAAACCCTCAACCCCAAACCCCCAAACCCCTAAACCCTATTAAAAAACCTTAAAACCTTAAGCCCTAAACCCATAAACCCTAAAGCTTCACCGATGGTGAGGCTTCGCCTGAAAAGCTTAGGGCTTTCTCTGCATAGACCCCATGCAATACATCCGTAACATAGAGTCCTTAGTAGCTAGAGTAGGGTTCCTTGAAAGATGTCTATAAGGGTTACTAAAAGGTGGTCTATACGGGTGCTCTAATATAGGGGTCTTGATAATGAGACTAGGGTTTTGGGACCCCATTATGCTATAATCATAATAAGGGACCCCCAAAAAAATAGTATTGGCAACTATTTAGGGCCCATGGTACAGACATGCATGCATGCAGGCAGCCCAACACCCACGGACAGACAGACAAACACACACAGAGGGACATTTGCACATAAGTAGACAAGGGCTACGCTGGGAAAACTTAGGAATCAGTGATTAGGGTTCGCAGGTTGAATTGAATAAGAACTCGTTTCGAGTACCAAACCAGGAGACACGAAAGATCCCCCAGTTAAGGAAACTTCTTTCACATGATAATTTTGAGCCCTTCCTTATTTATGGTATAATTATTCCTGAATGCGGGGTTTCCGCCTGTGTCCATGGAATGGCAATGATGCATAATTATCCCCATCGAACTCCTCGTCCCACTTTGCAGACCTCGTTGATCCTGTAGTCAAAACTTGGCTAATGTAACTCCCTCAGCCGAAGGAACGCTCAAAGAAACTTTAAAATTAACCCTTCAAAAGAATCCCCGTGAAGGAACCCCTCACAGGAATCCTAAAAGGAACCAAAATTATAGATCCCTTTAACTTAGACCCCTATCCCTCCAAGGACCTCACAGTTAGGGCCCTAGACCCTGTAAGGACCCCATAATAAGGTCCCTGGAGGCATAGGGGACGACAATCTCGCAGAAAGGCGGAGGAGTCTCCTCTAGCACTGGCGGCCGGGAAAGGCCACAAGGATGCTGTTGTCTTCCTGCAAGGCCTGGCGTACTTAAAGCGTCATGGGACTTAGTAAGTAAGGTTTTGGGTTTCGGGTTTAGGGTTTAAGGTTTATAAGGGTTTAGGGTTTAAGGTTAAGGGTTTTTGAACGACTACTGTAGGGGCTTTCATAATTAGAATAGGCTTCCTTTAAGGGGGTCTGGAAAGGTTACTATAAGGGATCTATAAGGGCACTATACAGTAGGGGCCTTCTTAATTAGGGCTCTGGGGGATATTATGCTATAACTATAGGAAGGCCCAAGCATGAGAGTTCTATGGGGTCTCTATGTTCATAAGGGTGAGTATCTATACATGCGTTACTTGAGTTTCAGGCTTCAGATTCAGGGTAGAGGGTTTAGCACCTTTGGGTTGTCATAGCGTGTCGGGTGATTGGATGTGTTGGTTCTATGAGGATTCTAGGATTTTCTTGCAACGGATCCGTTCAGGGACGCTGTATAGGCCTGCAAGCTACAGTCTAAGTAGCGCCTGTGATAACTCTTCAAGCGGAGGTACGCCCACTCAGGCTGACAGTAACTTGTTTCTTAACTTCGCAGCCCCTGGTGCTTTCCTACAACATCCCAAAGCTGTTCCGCTTCTCAAAACTTCATGCGACCCTTTCAAAACATTACCTGCCGCTTTCATGAAACCTCATCCGCCGCCCCGAAAAAAGAGCACTTTATCAATTCCTTGCTGGATCAACATGTAACTGCTATTACTAAAGTTACTAAACCCCATTCTGAGCAACCAGAAAGTTGGAGGGTGGTGAATTCAGGGCTTCCAGGGGTTATAGGGCTTAGCACAAAGGATGCAGGGTTTAGGATTTAGGGTTCAGGGTAAGGGTGTCCGGTGAGATTCTGAGAAACACCTGCTTGAAGGATCATTGGACTTGGTCAGTAAGGTTAAATACAATGTAACGATACTTATTACTTATATAACCACAACTAATTAAGGTACTCAGAACCTTCCTCGCCAAGTCCGATGATCCTCAATCCTGCCTGTGGGGGGATGATGTTGTAGGCGAAGCACGAATAATTCTTCTTCTTGGTATTGTCTTCAGGGGCCAAGTTTATGACCTCTAGCAAAGCCTTAGAGGACGCTTGCCTTTCAAATCCTGCCTCTTGCGCAGACACTTCAAGCCACCATGGTCCAGCGCTGGGGGCAGCTTTGGCATCCGCTGCGGAGCGTTTAGGGGGAGGGAGTGGGCAGTCCAGGCTGAAACCTTTCACCGCACTGAAAGTCATATTTATCCCCAGCCCGCAAGAGGCATCAACATACTTTGTTGTCCACCTGCACCTCTGTCTTCGGAGCTGTTTAAGAGTGGAGTGTTATGGGCAACCCCTTCCCAAAACCCTGTATTGTAAGCCGCAAACCGCTATCCGGCTACCCGAGATCCTGAACCCTTCGTCCTAAATCCTGGGGCCTGAGGGGGGGAAGCAAATCCTAAAGCCTATAAGCTTTAAGTCCCAATCCCAGACCTACGCGCTAAATCCCGAACCGTGTTCCGAATTCCAAAGCTCCTTGTGCAAATGTGCGCAAGGTGTGAGGGCACCGAAAACACCCTACGGTCCTAAAGCTCGACGGAGTCGTGCTTGATCGTAAAGTTCCCCCCTCTGAAGAATTTCATGGAAGCTTGCACAATCCATCACAGCTTGCCTAGACCCCCCAACTACCCTTTATTGTAGCCCCCAATTACCTCTTAATGGGAAAGATTAGAACCTTTTAAAGGGTACTTGGGGGGTCCTGGTGAGACCTCAAATATAAACTAGGACCCAGAGTAGGCCCTTATTCCCTTTTTGAGGGTTTCGGTTCCCTTATAACCCCCTTTAAACCAAAAAGGGCACCCTTTTTGTTCCTATGTTACTCTTAGATCTAGTAAACTGGATAGGCAGGAAATTGACAGTGGAGACTCTTTAGTCTATAAGGGCCGAGGGAATATAGGGTCCTTAATTAGGGACCCAGAAAGGACATAAGCATATAAGCATCTTATAGGGATATCTCTACCTTATTGGGCTGCATAATAAGGGGGTTTGTGAGGACATCCCTATCCTAATTTGCTTATGTGCTGTTTTGGGGCCCTACTTAACTGTAAACCCAGTTGACCGGTCAGCCGGAAAACAACGCAAGCTGGGTTGCAAGTTTCACAATCTTCCCCTCACTGCAGTCCGTGAGGAGCGCGGCCATGTTTCCGTGGTGGCGCAGCTTCTACTCGGCACTGCGGCGCAAGGGGCTGTTTCTAGAAGATTTGAAGCCTTCAGAGTCCGGGCATGATCGTTTCCAGGCCTCTGAACCCGGTTCAGGGTTTAGGGCCCCAGACCTTCCAATATCCCTTAATTAAGCAATATCCTTTAATTCATAATTGGATCCCTAATATAATTTAAGGTATATTCCTAATTAAGGGATTGTGGAAGGTCTGGGCACAAGGGCTTAGGAGTCGAAACCCTCTTATGGCTTCTGTTGAACTTGGTTGTGCGCGCATGTCAGGGCAGCAGTGGAGGACGCTTGTCGCCGAAAGCCTTGCCTGCTCCGTGTGTGAGAGTCGAGGCATGTCGAGGCACTCAATCGCATCAGAGACCCAAAGCTGCCAGAAATCACCAGAGAGGTTGAGATTTGAGCTGACAAATTAGCTTCACACTCTAAACCCAAAGCCCAAACCCGAAAACGGAAGCTCTTTAACCGTAGATGCCTATAACTCTATGCACCCCAAAGATCGAAACTGAGCACCGAAGCCCTCCCTCCCCCAGAGCCGAACCCAGACCTTCAAAAATCCCTGAATAAATTAAGGAATATACTAAATATACCTTAAATTAAATTATAATAGGATCCCTAATATGAATTGAGGTATATTCCAAATTTTTCGGGGTTTTGGAAGGTGTGGGAATTTTGACTCTAAACCCCTAAACCCTAAGGCCACTGGGCCAACGTCGAAGCCGGAGCTACGCGAGCACTTGCCGCTGCGGCGCGCGCCGGCCACGCCACGCTGGTGTAACCTCGCTGCAGTTTGGGGGAGGAGAGGCAAAGTAAAAAATACTCTAAGGGTTGCTATAATAAGGGGTCCTTAAAGGGTTACTATAAGGGTTCCATAAGAGCTTCAGGGTTTGGGATTTAAGGCTACATTGGCGAGGCAAACCCTAAAGAGTCCCCATGTTCCCCAAAAAGTAGTATATACTGGGTGCTTTTGAGGGTACCACAAGGGCATACAAGGGCTCTATAAGGGCAGGTACTGTACCATAAGGGTTTAGGGCAAAAGGGTCCATGTACTCAAGTAGTATGTACTTTGGCCCTTAATGTACACATAGAGGGACTACTTTAAGTAAGCCCAAAGTATATCCGTGTATGGACCCTTAGGCAAAGGATCCCTATGAGGGTTTCAAGCCGGCTTTGTGTGGGTATCGGGCTGTGCAGACTTGCAGGGTTCAGGGTAATCATAGGCTTTAAGGCCCCTTTTAAGAGAGCCAGAAGTAGGGTTCAGAAGGGGTACCCTTTAAGGGGTCTCTCTAATAATACTACCTACTTGGAGGGTCGGGGGACTTAGTAAGTAGGCAGTAAGTAGACTTATAAGTACCCTAAAAGGGACCCTATTTGGGGTTATGGTACTTATGAGTCCCTAAAATAGCCAGTTACTAAGTCCCCCGACCCTCCAAGTAGGCTTTAAGGGATCAGGGCGAAGCCCCAAACAGTGAAGCAGAGGGCTCAGGGTTTAGGGCTTAGGGTTTCGGGCTTAGGGTTTAGGGTTTAGGGTTTTTAGGCTGATCGTTTGGTTCTATGTACTGTAGTTGCAACCACTATAGGGCATCGTCACGTAAACATGCGCCATGCCTTCGGCCTGAGCGCCAATCCGCAATGCCTGGCCCGAGGCATGAGCTCTAAGCATATTATTCACACTTCCGACATCTTCTTGTGGCCATACCGTCAAACCCTGTATAGTTCGAACATTCTACCCCAAACGAAGGTTTGTGTTCGGGTGTGCTTCGGCTTACACCTGCAATCCCAGCTTCTAAGGCGTGCGCAGTCATTGGCACGAAAAGTCATAATTAGCCCGGGTACAAAGCTGTTTAGGAAGTAGTTGGATTTAACCTTTGGGGTCAAGGGTTGTATGCTTGAGGGCCACGATGTGTTCTAACCTGTTGCAACAGGGCTTAGTTTTGGTTCACCTTGCGTGACATTAAAAATCGCTGGTAAGAGCCGTGGAGAAAGCTGTTCTATAGTTTGCTCTGGCAAAGTCGAGGCAGCATTTGCTGGATGCTGGCGTGCATCTTGGCGACGTACATTTTTCTGTAATTACCTGGCCAGCGTCTGTTTGCTACAAAAATAGCCCCTCCTCCACGTGGGTGGCCGTGAAAACCCGAAACCCTATGCCGAGCCCTTCCATAGACCCTAAACCCTCCGAGTCCTAAACCCTTATGAACCCTATGGCCCTACGAGCTTATGAGCCTTAATCCAGCTAACATTCGGTTGCCTGAACATCAATTGAAAATCGCCTACCCAACGCTCCAGAAGCCTTAAAGTGCAAGCCTCCTCAGTCCCAGCCGCGTATAGTCTTGACGTTTGAATTTTGTACGACGATAAGGGGATGATGTGTTTCCTGTTGCCCCCCCCCCCCTCCCCCCACCCCCGCAACTTCCTACTGCCCTGGACTAATTGGACACCTAATGCCCCAGATAGATTGGACATGTCAGAGTCCAGAGCACTTTCCTCGTGTCAGTGTCTGCGAGGCCTGCGGATGGGCCGGAGCTGAGGCGTTCTTGCCTTCATCTCTGAAATACCGCCCCCGTATAGTCCCTACGTAATAACCGTACCAAAACGGTTTAAATGAATATGCCTTCAAGCTGTATTGACACCCTATACCTGGCTTATCTTCCAGGGTTCGGGCTTCACAGGGCTTTGAAGGTTTCAAATTTCATGTGGAAAATGCGACTCATATTCATGGTCCAAGGCTTTAGCATCGTCGCGACTTGCTGACGTGCTATCACTGTAGTCGGGAGTTTCTGTTTATGGTTGGAGCATCAGGGGTGGAGCTTTGTGGGCCAGCAGCTCTAGGGTTAAGGGATACGGCTCCGGGCAGGGGGGCTAGCACTCAAGTGGTTGGGTGATTCTTGACTTCTTGGGTTTATCTAGGGGTGTCCACCAAGTAGCGCAGGTTTGCGTCATGGTTCCTGTAGCTTGCAGGGCTTCTTGAAGTTTACAACGGTTCGCCCCGATTCTATAGTCCGTCGAGTCTTTCTGTTCAGTTGACGATCAGAAGCGGTTCTTTTAGTCTGCTTTTTAGGGTTGAGGCTTCATATCCAGACAATCCAGATGAGTGCGCTTTCAGATCTGGGAGGGCGGCTTCTGGGCCACGTTTGAGGGTACTCAGAATCAGCCTCCTGCTACTTCGGGCCTGGTTGAGGAACCCCCTTACTGCTACAGACGTTTGAACTCTTCCATCAACCCCTTTCACCAGTAAACCCGGCTAGCCGTGAGCCCTACAACGATTGAAACCCTGACAGGGCCATTCTGTTGTCATCTAGATGCCAATCTACCCTAGACCCAATGCCCAAATGTTGATAGGAACTTTCGACCCACCGTTTCAGGAAGTAGCTAGGCTCCTCAAGTACAAAAGCCTGTGCAGCATGTGGCTACAGAATAGACGGCACATGGTGTCTAGGATTTCAATTATTCAGGTTTATTGAAGTTGCCTCTGTTTTCGTAGGGCTTAGATTGAAGCCTAGGTCCGAATCCCCTAATCCTATACCCTCAAATACCCTCAGCCGGGAAGTTCGGGGCAGGGCCGACTTTTAATTTTGAATCAGTTACCATAATAGGACTTATAATAAGTAATATGGTTTCCTTATTATGGTAACTTAAGTTCAACCCTTTAACAAGAACCATAAGAAGACTTATAGTAAGCAATGTGGTTTCCTTATTATGGTAACTTCAAGTAAAACCTTTAAGTAAGTAATATGGTTTCCTTTTTTATGGTAACTTAAATTAAGACCTTTAGCAAGAGCCCTGTTTAACCCCAACCGGAGGCAGGCGGCCAACGAAGCGGCCACGCGCGACCACGCCGAGGCAGCCCAATGCTTTAGCAGGACAAGCCAAATGATACTCTACCCTAAGGCTCCAAAGTAGTTCCTTTTTGGGGCTCATATATAGAATCCTATAAGGTGATCCCAAAAAGGAACTTCTATGGAGCCTCTGGGTAGGGGCCTTATAAGAATTGCACATACTATTTTTTTGGGGGGGGGTAGACTGTTTAATAAATCGTATAATGGGCCCCCAAACCCTAGTCCAATTTTTCAGGCCCATATATATATATATATGAATGATGCTGCAAGGTTTGTTTTTTTCGCGGCTGTCACGTATGTCCACTCCAAGGACCCACCTTTACAGGTTTTTTGGCCCAGAGAACATGCTATGTAAGGCATTACGGCTGTTTGAGCCTTAAGATACGTCCTAAACCCTACGGGCCAACCCATCCTAGACAGATCGTGAGACTAAGGCCTTGACCTCAAACCGGCACCCGACGCACGATCCCATCCCGACTGCCAATCCTACGCACCTGTGGTCTTCGAGAAGAAAAGGAAACAAGACTGGAGACAGACATCTACCGCAGGTTGTGGCGCTGCTCGCAGATGCAGGTGCGACAGTTAAACCTTGATCATAGGCTGAAGGGCATTCTATGAATGTCCTTGGATTCGTTTCGGCATGCCCTAAATGCGAGTTCTTTTTCGCGTCATAGCAGTTCCCCGGCAGTTTTCGGAACCGTCGGGGTGTGTCAGGTATTTGTTGCAGGGTAATGTGTTCGTGGTCGCGGCTGCTGCTTCGCGATTTACTTCAGGGCTCAACGTGTTGTTTGAGCAGATGTCGGTCCTACTGCCCAAGGCAGTACAACATAGGGTCTGAATAGTCTAGTCCCCATAATGCCGACATATTTACAGCGCAACATACACCTGCACCCCGTTCTGCCCATTAAGTCCCCACCGCTAAAGCCCGGAGGCAGCAAGTCACACTAATTTTGGCAAGGCTCCCAACCGCAAGAAGCATACAGGCGCAAGCTACCCAGCTGTGTACCTATATGATCGGTTGATGTTCCTTAAACACTACATAGACCCGATGCTACCCATCACCCAGCAACCTAGGACATAGGTAACTTCGTTGGGGTCTTTGGGTTGCAATCTGAAAACCACTTAAAAACCCAGGATAAAGATGGTCTGTTTGGGGCTTCGAAATGGTAGTACATGTGGAGCCTCAGTGTGTAAACCACCCTAAACCCTGAACCCTACAGGTGTGGATTTCACAGTGGAAGACCGTGACCCGGAAAGGATATCTTCCGATGGTTTTGAGCTTGATCGGGTTTGGGGTTTAGGATTTAGGGTTCAGGATTCAGGTTTGAATTCATAGGAATGAAGGAATTTGATGAGCGTATACAGCTATGGGCAGGGCTGGTACTCGTAACGAAGATTGGTGAGTGTTCATTTTTGTGTCTGATCATGGGGAGACCCTTGTAACGAAGATAGGTGAGTGCTCATTATCATGTAAAACCGTCCTTACATGGCTTAAGTAAGGCGGTTTCAAGCGCTGCATGGTTGTGTAATGGTGTGTAGCTTGTGTAGCGGATAGGATGTAATCATTTAGAAAGGATACAAACCGTGTACCCGAAACCCGCTATGGAACAGGTGCCTGCTCATTGTTGACAGAGGGACCCAGGGAGAATGTTCAAGTTTTTGCGGTTTAGTAGATGTTTAGGGTGTAGAGGCATTCAAGGGTCCAAGAGTGTTGAGCGACAAGTATAGAGGTTCCAGTAGCTACACTTTTGATCGAGACTACTCGTTGTTTGCCAAGTTTCCGCGCATGAATTTATCTAACCATGCGCGGAATCGCAGGCTATAGTTGGCACCGGGTTATGAAGTATACACCTCACTCCCCACCCTACACCTGGCAGTGGAGTTTAGGGTCGCATCCGGGCAGATGGTTAGCATTTCACTGTGCAGCCACATGCTTGCGTTTGCCGCTTTGGCTGCTAGCGATCGGAATACATCGGATGACAGTGTATTCGCCTTGCATCCTATTGCGACACAGCGCGCCGTCCCAGAACGTCCAAAAGACATAACGTGCGAGAACAGCGTAGAGCATCGAAAATGAAAAATGGAAGTGCAAAGGAAGTCGCCAGGTGGAGTAAAGTGGCCTAAACAATTGCCAGCATTTTTCTCCAAGCGCTCCACATAACGATCATACTCTAATCGTATAATTTGACAATGCTCGAAACCCTGCTCTAATCAGTTTGAGGCTATAACTAGTAAGGCTGCCACATCATAGTTCGATGAGCTTCATGAAGTCGCAGGTGTAGTTGATTGCATAGCTCGGCGTAGGACCCCTCAGTTAAAAGCAACCAGCGCTGCATTTGCGTCGGCCACCGAGGTAACGGCAAGACACCTTTGATGAATGCTGCTGCGGGTGGTCACAGCGAAGTGGCCGATTCGACGCAAGTATTCACGGCTTGAGGGGAAGAGCTCATCGATCCCGTGTCTTTCCCTAAGGGTCCAAGTATATGATAATCATACACTCTCTTAAATATTGAGCTACATAACTAATATCCTAAACCCAAGTACCTAATTATTGGGTCCTTAGGGTTTGGCTCAAGGGATTTAGGAAGTTTAGGGTTTAGGGCTTCTGGGATTTGGGGACTTGTCATGAGCCCTGCCCGATTGTCTCTGTTTGGGTGTGTAGGGCTCGAGGTTTAGGAGAGTTTCTGTGGCTTTTTCTCAGGAGAGTTGTGTACACCCCGGTACATGTTCAGGATCCTTCTTTCGTGGCCGCCTCCTAATTATCTGCGAGCTGCTGCAAAGTTTCAGCACAACCTCAGCAGTTCGACATGATTGCGACCGGTCTAGCTGACGGTTTGAAGGACGGTTTCCAATTCTGTTGCGTCGGCCTTAACCCAATCCTTCATACTTCATGCCTCACGAGCTTGGACCCTGTCATAGAACCCTATAGTAGAAGCCAGAAAGTTGGAACATCATTCTCCTCATGCCCTTAAGGTAAATTGTATGGGATCCTAGCACGAATCCTCCTAAAGCCATGTTCCAACTTTCTGGCTTCTACTGTAACCTGGCTCCATGAACTATGCAGACTGTGAGCTCGTGTATGAGGTTTACTTATCCTTGCATCCACAAAAAATACTTAAAGCTGTAATCCTCATACCCCGAACACCCAAGACTACCTCGTCCTTCAGGTGAAGCTGCTCCTTCGCAACTGCGGCTGCAGCCCCTTGAACTTTCCCGCTTGTGGGAGAAAGTGGGGCTTAGATGTCATATGCTACAGAGGCTCCGAACACCACACTTCGTCGTTTGCCGTCTCCATCACATACCCTAGGGATCAACACAGCCCAAAAAGCCGTATTTTGTATGGTCTTTGGGCCCAAAAGCCTTAGAATATGAGTTCTTAGAAAGCGATCGTAACAGTCAGCCACGGGTGCGTCGTTCGATTTCAGTTGCTGAGGAGACGCTACGGCATGGCGGAGTTTAGAGTTTATAGGGTTTATAGTAAGGGTTTAGGAGCTTAGGGTTTAGGGTTTAGGGGTTTATGGTTTAGGGTGTTCTATATTCGAAGTACATTTGCTGTCGGATGTTGGGATATCCCAGAACACACCGATCTCACCCGAAACAGTTTCGGAGCGGCTTTGTGCTTTCAAGCTTTCGGCTTCAACCCTAAACCGTGAACCCAGCCCCCGTTGACACTTTGCAAATGATTGATTCGGCACTGCGGGTCCAGGGCGTGCCTTGATACCGGAAGTGGGGGTTGATGCTCCAGCTCTACTTCCGCAACACATGTAGCTGGTTTTTGTTTGGAAGGGCGTGTGGGGTCCTGGTTGCCTGACTATTGCTATTAGGGGCCGCAAGATAGTGTTTTGGGTGTCGATTATACTAAATTTATACAAGCATCCCCGAAAATGGTATTGGTAGGTATTTAAGCCCGTATGTTTGATCGACTGGGTCCATGCCGCTTCATTCTGAGAGTGCTCGGGCGGGCAGGATTGCACGTGGTTGGGGCTGCTGCACTGCCTGCCAAGCCAGCAAGTGCCGAAACCGTAAGCCTTAAACCCATCAACATAGCAGGTACGTGGGGTTGCTCTAAGATTACCTGAATCTGGATACCTTTTTGGAAGAATTCACCTATTTAGTGTTGTGTATTAGGGTCCCCAAATCCCCGAGGGTCTGACCTCTTTGCTCGCTGAGGCGCCGACGCCCGGGATAGGCAGGGTGCCACTGCAATGCACTGGGCCGCATGGCGGGGACACCGCGGCGTCGTTGAGGACTTCGTGTGTCTTCAGGTTTACAAGGCTTGAGATGTAAGAGTTTCCGACAATTAGGGGTGCCCTCATTGCAGCTGCTGCGGCTGTGAGCCCTCGGCCTACGGGGGGTTGAAAACTACTACTAATTCTTAGGATCCCTCGCTGGGATCCTTCAATGAAGAAGTCGGACTATCTACTAATTCTTAGGATCCCTCGAAGGAGTCGGACTATCTACTAGTTCTTAGGGTCCCTCGTCGGGATCCTTCAATGAAGGAGTCGGACTACTAAGGGTGTATACTCAGCTCTCTTGGTCTTTTGTTTTCTGAATAATTATCGTAGTTACATTGACATTGCCTTGTCTGTGACCCGAAGGTGGCGGTAGCAAGACGAACGGCCAGGAAGAAGCGGAAAGACTCTGAGAAAAGAATGGCGCCGCCTCCAAAACCCAACGGGACCCTAACTGAGTGCATGCCGAATTCACGATGGTACTCGGTGGCCACTTGGGCCCATGTCGAGATTCTAGTTCACGGGTTGTGCCCTTCGTTCATCTCGAGTTTCTCACATCAATACGTATCAGTACCATTTACCAAACAGTCCTGTCACGGTAACTTCACGCAAGCTCCTTTACAAAAGCCGACGAGCATCAAGGCTTTCATGAATAGCGTTGTAAGACTACTGCCAAAGCCTCTCGAGTACCCGAACACCCTTAAACGCAAAAACCTACTAAACCCAAGACCGTAACTCCTGCACCCTGAGCCCCAACCTCTGACCCCTAAACCGCCCTAAACCCTATAAACCCTAAATCCTAAACCCTAAACCCCTAAACCCCTAACCAGAGACAGTGCCGGCAAGGATATTCACAAGGATCTTAGAAATTCCCACTATCCTCAGGGTATTGTCAGACTTTCTAATTTCGAGAACGGTGGCCTTTGGATCGAATCTCCGACAGGCACATGTTCTAAAATGTATATGGGGATGAGTGTTGCTGGCACAGTCTGCGAAATCCCGGGGGATCGATTGCTAATGTTTAGTGGTAAACGTTTCCTTCACTGCACTGAGCCCTGGCTAGGTCGTAGAGTCGTGCTTGTTGCTTACACGCTTATGGGAACAATTTCGATCCCCAGGGATGTAGAAGAAAAGTTGCAAGCCATAGGAATTCAGACACCAGAGAGCAGCGAAGTAGAGTATTACTTTCACCACCCGATTGGACCAGGTCAACCAACCCAACGTAAGCTTCGCTTTCGAAAGCTATCGGGTGTCTGGCAAGCGGGACGCCTCAATCTGAGACCTCATGAGCCGACAATTGACGTGGATCCTCAGGAGACCTATACTGCCCAGCTCCCCACTCAACTTGACGACTCTTGTAACCCTTTTCCACGTCCTGAGTCGGTGCATGACAGTGACTCAGCTGAGACTCTCCTGCTCTCTAGGGCAGCGAGCAGTGGGGTTGATATAGCATGAACATATGTTCTCCATTTATTCCCCCAGGGGCTCCCGATCATGTACTATGGCGACCAGTTATATTTACACTGTAACCAAACCACTAACCCGCGATCGCGCGCCATGGCTGCTGCGACCGCAATCTGGTGCATCTCTGCATGGTGCATGGCGGGGATTGCTGCTACTGCATGGACCTGAAGTTCCCCTGGTGACAGTCATGTGGAATGACGAATGCTGGTATGGCAACTGGGGCTAGAATTTACGCAGTACTGCATGATGTGAACCACGGAATTTGGTATATTGCATGGGCTGGGTATGTGACGAGACGTTCTGCTGGTTGGTTGGCGCTTACAGCTGAGTTCTGCCCACTACATGTTGTGTTGGGATATACTCCAAGATGAAAGAGGCAACATTGAAAGGCAGAGTCGGGGGAATTCATTCGTGCATGACTGCATGCACCGACGCTGGAATCTGGCAGAGGTGAGAGCACAACGATCTGCACTTGGTACCCTGGCATGCTGCGAGGTGCATGGACATACTGTGGGTTTGTACATGTGCAGCCCACATGGCATGTGGCGGAACGTACCGAAGCTGGAACAAGACTTGACCAGCAGACGCAAAAAACCAATGCATGTAGCCCGAAATGCTGCAATGGGCGCCTGCCGTTCTGACAGACCCGTCTGGTGGAGTACTGCATGCGTGCCACTGCCTGCATTATAATTCGTAATTCATAACTGCTTGCATGTGCACAGTCAATGCATGAATACTTGAAGCCGTTACTCTGTCCCACATAGTCCGTAGGTTTCACCAGTCAACTTCTACAGCACTTAGATTGAAACATGCACTGTAACTTTTGGTTAGGTGCGACTAATTGGTTGCGCCTTGCTGGTAAATGCTGGCATTTGGTTCTTCGTACCGCTGAGCCAACAGTTTGCAGGGCGTCGATGTCCTGTGTGCACTTTCAATCTGTGTATCGTCATGGCAGTGATCTGTCTTCGGTAGTTCAAGATCTTGTTTTCTCTATTGTGTTTTCAGCTCAAGATCTTGAACAGAGGATGGGTCCGCGGGGTACAGTCACTTCATCTGTTTTAGTTGTGAATGTTTATACTGACACCTCCTCTTAGTGACGTCTCACTTAGTATGACTCCGAACCTACATGCCTCGCCTGGATTGTCCGAGTGTGAGCGCCGAAACCCCTAAACCCTATAAACCCTAAATCCTAAACCCTAAGCCCAGTCCTTCTCCCAGTAGAACCCACCAAGAGCCGCCACGCACGACTTTGAAGGAACTCGTGGCCTTCGGTGCTGACGTAGTCCTTCGTCGTTTTAGTGTTTTGTTAGGGCTTGGAGGGTTTGTAGGGTTTGGAGCTTCTAGCATTTATACTGTTTCGAGTTTAAGGTTTGGGGGTCCTTCGTCCTTTTCTTAGGGGCTGAGTAGGTAGCCTTCAACCTTTTGGGGTTATATATATATATATGTATATTCCTAGTGTGGGAAAATGAGGGTTCATGACTGGACATGCACAAATCGCAGCACCAAGAGCAACTATGTTCAGAGGAGCTACAACGCTTCTCAGGGGCTGAGTAGGTAGCCTTCAACCTTTTGGGGCTTATATATTCTTAGTATAATTCAAAAGTTTATCCTTTTTTGAGCCAGGTACTCAGCCTATAAGTTTTAGTGTCTGTTAGGGCTTGGAGGGTTTATAGGGTTTGCGGCTTGTAGTGTTTATATTGTTTGGAGTTTAAGGTCTCGGGGTCTAAGGTTCGGAGTTAGGTTGGGAGTTCGGCGTCTTTGTTGTTCAAATTCGTTGTTTGTTGCATATGTTAATCAGCATTAATGTTTCCGATTCTTGCAATCACCAGCTGCGTTTATGTTCTTTTCTTCGAGAAAAGATGGTGTTGATGTTGAGAACTGTGTGTGCGTTGTCAACCTGGGGTCTAGTTGTTAGAAGCATTCTTTTGAGGATGTTGGTGGCTTTCCGTGATTTTGGGATATTTACATGGGCTTAGGAGGAACCACAGGGTTGCAAGAACGGAGCCCCCCTCGTTTGGCCAGTTGGCATCTGGACCTGTGCCACGATCCCCTACTCAGCCAGGAATAACTTAGCCGGAAGCCTGCAGCAGGAACCTTCGGCCCAACATGCCCTAAGGGTTCATGTGCCCAAATAGTATATACTCTGGGCCATTGTACCTGTAAAGGGCCAAAGTATGTATATATATATATATATATATATACATACACTATATGGGTACATGGACCATCTGCAAAGCAGGAACGGTTTCAACAGCACGAACACCGGGACCTGTGTTAGGCTTTAGGCTGCGATTCGTGTCACTGGCAAATGAGCTTTGTCAGCCTTAAACTCCTAAACCCCTAAATCCCTTCGGGCATCATCCGACAAAATTGGAACGATACAGAGAAGATTAGAATGGTCCCTGCGCAAGGATGACACGCACAAATCGAGAAGTGTCAAAACCCTAAAATCCTAAACCCTAAACCCCGAGACCCTAAGCCCTAAACCCGTTGTGGTTTCGATGTTGGTAATTCTTCAGTAAGCCTTTGAACTGTCATCACTCGGGGTTCGAGTCCAGACCAGCATTGGGGTTTGTGCACATGTGTTAGAAAGCTTTAGAAAGAAACCCAATGATCCTAGCTGCCATCAGATCCATCAGATCGAAGGAAATCATGTGATTGCATACATCTGAAAAGCAACTTAAACCCTAAACCCTGAAGTTTTAAAGCCCTAAAACCCTCAATCCTCACGCCTGAATCTAAGCCCTACGTCCCTTATTTGTCTTAAATTGAAATCCTACCCTGAACCCTGCAGTCCCAAACCCCTGAAGCGTCACCGAAGCAAAATAGAAGCCTTAATAATAGAAAAAGGGCTTTGGGCCCCAGTATTCTATTGTTATACGAAAGAACAGCTAAAATAGTATTGGTAAGTAGTATTTAGACACCTAAAATATAGAACCCTATGATGGCTCCCTTATAGAACCGTTTAAAGATACCTTTAAAGGAACCGCATATCTATTTAGGCCCCTGTATTACTCAGGACGCCGACTGCTTTGGCCCAGCTCCGGGACGGCCACTGCACTGGGCAGTGCAGCAGCCAGGACCGACCTTGGAATGGATGGAGGGGGTCCTTAACAATTACAAAATCCTTGAAGGGTTCTATAAGGTAGCCATAATAGGGTTCTGCTACTTAGTAATTACCCATACTCGTTTAGGGATCCTTACTATAATTCTAGCATAATGGGCCCCAAACCCTATTCTAATGCGAGCTTCGGGTCTACAGTGCCAAAGGTTACGCGGCATAGTAATTAGTAGTCATCGTCATAGTAGTTTTTTTGCGAGTAGCCGTAGTTGTCGTGATAGTCGTAGGCCTAGTCACACTTGTGATGGTGTTGCTGGTGGTGCTGGTAGTGCTGGTGGCGGTGGTGGTTGTGGCGGTGGCAATAGCGGCGGTGGTCGTGGTGGTACAGTAGCAGTTGCAGTAGGTGGCGGAGGGGGTAGTAGCGGCAGTAGGGCAGGAAGTAGTGAGAGCAGCAGGGGTAGTAGCAATAGTAGTAGTAGTAGTAGTAGTAGTAGTAGTAGTAGTAGTAGTAGTAGTAGTAGTAGTAGTAGCAGTAGTAGCCGTAGCAGTAGCAGTAGCAGTAACTCTGGCTATGTTACATGTTGTTTGTAGCCCAAGTTTGAAGTGGCTGAAACCTTCTGACTTAATACATGCAAAACCGTTGTAAGCACCAAAGCCCGGAACCTTATTCAAATCTTTCGCATTGTGCAGAAATCCAAAACCTTAAGCAAGAAAGTCAAGCCACCCGCACAATGGGGCCTAACAAAGACGATGACCACTACCGGAATCACCCAAAGTAGGTAACATAGTGGCCCAACACCCATACAAGGCTGTTGTTCCATACCTTTGGTGCCCAGCCTCAAACCCTAAACCCCAGCCCTATAAACGCAGTTGAGGGTGTGAAGTATACCCTTATAGATCCCTCATAGTAACCCTTACAGACCCAGTGAAAGGAACGCTATTCTAGCTGTTAAGGCCCGTACAGTTGATCCCTCAAATATAGTACAGATACCCTATAGTAATCCTTATAGACCCCTTTCGAGGGATCCTATTCTAACTAAGTCCTGACATTTGATGCCTCAAAGTACTACCCTTATAGACCCGTTTTCGGTAACCCTTAGAGACTCCTTTAAAGAAGCCCTGTTCTAAAGTTTAAGGCCCTTACAGTTGATGCCTCAAAGTGCTCACTTGGAGGCCCTTTTGACTTAGTAAGTAGGGTTAGTAAGGTGGGTTATGGGGATTATAATGGGGTTCCTGGGGGATACTAAGTAGACTTACTAACTCAAAAGGGCCTCCAAGCAGACATGGTCCAGCTGCTGCTGGAGCTGCGAGCTGACGTTGGCCCAGCGAAGGCTCCTGGAGAGCCCCCAGACCTTCCAAGATCCCTTAATTAAGGAATATACCTTAATTCAAAAGAGGGATCCTGTTATATATTTTAAGGTATATTCCTTAATTAAGGGATTTTGGAAGGTCTGGGTCTCTCCCCTTTCTCTTCGCAGATGGGTGTCAGGAAGCCCGAAACCCCAAGCCTTTAGGGTGTTTAGGTGTTAAGCTTTTAAGAAAGTTATCTAGCTGCGGGTTTCATGATGTTTGGATAAGCGTACCAAAATGCTTGAACCTGACATGGGTATCTTTCGAGTCTTGTGATCCTTAGACCCTATAACCTCTAAACTCTGAGGGACGTGGTGGCTCCTGCAGTAGCCATCAGTAGCCGACCTGTTGCCAATGTGCTGCCTTTCCGACACGAACAATCCTCGCTTGCAGAATCCGAATTGAGAGAGTCCAAACCCCAAACCCGGTGGTATTCCACGACACAGCCTGGCAGTACCCTCATTAGCGCCTTCGTCTTCTCGCTTCAAGAGAGTTTGAGTGTAGGGTCTAGGATTGACGCTTTTGCCCCAAACCCAAAATTCCAGGTGAGGCCTTCAATTCAGCCGCCCCGTGATGGCGACGTTCTCGTCCGCTCGGGTGATGTGCTGGCATGCGCCCTGTGGTCTGTGGTTTTGGGGCGATGGGGGTTATGCACTTATAGCCCAACAATTCTACACAGTTGCACGTCTGTCGGTTTCCTTATTCTGTGCTTGTTATAACGACAACTCCACGCAGTTTTCGTGTTGCCCCAGGAATCAGCTGTTTAAGGAATCCGTGCATTCATAAGTAACGTGTAAACCCCCTAAAATCGAGACTGCTATGACGGCACCATTTCCGGAATCCCAAGCCCTTTACCCATAAACTCTAAGGAATCCTGAAACCCTACACTTGCCCTCTTCTTACCCTTTTCTTGGCAATCGCTGCAGGTACACATGCTGCCGAAGTCCTGCGCAAGCGTGGAGTGCCTGCAACCGCAGCAGGCCGGTACCCATTCAAAGCTGGGTTCCAAGTATATATACCAACGGTACCTACTTTGGGGTTTAAAGTCCATAAATAGTACTTTTGGGGTCTAAAGTCCAGAAATAGTACCTTTGGGGCTATTTTGGGAGCCCCAGGGGTTCAGAGCCTACCATCTCCCATCTTAGGGTTCCTTGTTCACATTGTAATCCAAGTCCTTGACAGGTGGAATGTACAATGTTTGATATGGGGCCGTTATTCGTTGAAGGCTGTCTAAACGTAATCTGTAAAGAATTTCATTTTAGGGGTTCGAACAAATGATGTATTCGGCTGTCGTCCTTCTGCAAGCTTACCCATACACCTTACGGCTCCTAAAGCCCCCAAAGCCTTGAATAGTACAGTATTTGGTCCCAAAAGACTTAGAACATGAGTCCTTACTTGAACCCGCCAACTACCTTCTAATACCACTATTAAGGGCCATAAGGCCTCTATTAAAGCGCCCTTGGGGGAGTCCTGAGAGCCTTAGCGAAAAGATCTTGTTCCAACAATTCAGGCCACCGAGTTCCGAGAGACAAAGGGGTCAAAGTTTTAAGGGTGTACAAGGGGTTTAGGGTTTTCAGAAATTTTAAACGGTTTGGGATGGCTTGGGTACCGAAGTTGTGAATGCAACGTTTTGACGGAAACGTTTTTCGCCTTTGCTGCCGCTCCAAGCATGCTCTCGATTTGTCGGGGGCTGGGGGCTGTACTTGGAGGTTCATGCGTAGTTATAAGTAGGGCTAGAAGTCCCCTAGTATGAGTTATAAGTATAGTTTACCCTACTTGTAAACCCACTTATAACTACCCATGAACCTCCAAGAATGGGCTCGGCTGGTGCTGTTGGGCTGGGCTGGGCTGGCTGGGTTTGCAGAGGGTTTAGGCAGATATAAGTCTTCGGCAACTCCGAGGGAATGTCGAGGAAACGTCGGAAAAGTTGGGCTGTACACATACACATATACATGAGCATATAAATATTACGGTTACGGGGTCGAAGTCGACCCCTGCGTTTTGCATATTTTAGGAATATGCTGAAAATTGTGTGTGTGTGTGTATGTGCGCGGTATCAATCTTACTATCTATATAGTTTAGCTATATCAGCTCTGTCATCAACATTAACATCTATATAATTTCTGTAATACTTGTCACATTGTGTAATCATTAGGTTGATGTTAAGCTACATAACCAACATATAACTAGATCAGTTAGGACTACATCATCTATCTCATTAATAGTTCTACCAATTTTAACAGGTGCGATGCTTCACTAATTAAGGTTATTAACAGATATGCACTTAATACAATAGCATTTGGTTCATATTTGGAGGTGATGCTATGTTCTATCAATGTTTGGTTTAGTTCTTTGGGAATCCAGAAGTCTACCCTTCCAGCATTTGATAATCAATAGTTTAACAATAGCTGGCTTATTGCATGTTTAGTGTCTTTGGTTAACTTGTCTATAATCGGATAACCTGAGCTATGAGGCTATGAGTTGTCTTTGTCTATTAGGATAAATTAGTTTGGACACATCATATGTTTACAACTAGTATGCAACAGTGATACAAGAGCTAACTTTACAGGTTAATACATTGGTTATATGATCATTACCAACTTGTTCGTTACGATCATGTAGTTGGTATTCTACATCCCTGGACAAGTAATGCATGTCTACTGATACTATTTCAGAACTAATGTTAACTGTTACAATATCTTTCATATAGTCTATTTACAATAGGTGGTTCAACCGGTATTATACTTGGTAATTAGTGCTGCTATTGATATAGATTTTCATGACTCTTATTATGTTGTTGCACTTTTCATTATGTCTTACCATTAAGTACAATCAATGCTACCCCATTAGGACCATTATATGTATTGTCTTGTCCTGTATTAAAATGACTTACTAACACTAGATGAACAGCTATAGGTAGTGGCATTGGCATGAATGGTCTAGGTTAGCTGTGTGTAGAGGTTAATACAAATCAAGTTGTCTAAGTTTTTCATGTGTGTTCTAGTGATTTTATGTGAAGGCTTACATCATTACATCTCAGTGGTTCTAATGTTTAAGCCTAGTAGAGTACAAGACTAAAGAGATTACTTAGTATAGTGGTTGGAATGATACTAGTTCAGTTGGTTAGAGGTTGCACGTTAGTTTCATTTTGTATCACTACAGTCCTTTCCAACCAAGATAGTTTAATAAGTATTGAGGAGGCCACCGGAAGCTTGTCGTGAATCGCGCCTGTTGTGCAGATATGAGTCACCGGAAAATAGAACTAGGTTATACTAGGCTTGAGTACGGAACACTGCGAATCACAAACTGTATACGGCATGAGTGAGACTAGTAGAGTACAAGACTAAAGAGATTACTTAATATAGTGGTTGGAATGATACTAGTTCAGTTGGTGAGAGGTTGCACGTTAGTTTCATTTTGTATCACTACAGTCCTTTCCAACCAAGATAGTTTAATAAGTATTGAGGAGGCCACCGGAAGCTTGTCGTGAATCGCGACTGCTGTGCAGATATGAGTCACCGGAAAATAGAACTAGGTTATACTAGGCTTGAGTACGGAACACCGCGAATCACAAACTGTATACGGCATGAGTGAGACCACTGATGCATGAGCGATATATGTGATGCAGCACACGGCTGACACGCATCGGCCTCTTTTGGAACGCGCAGCGATTCATTGAACTGTCTGTCACGTAGCCAATGTGTCTCAAAGCGTCGAAAGCAAAAAAAACAAAACCAAAAAAAACAAAAAAACACATTCTTTCAGAACTCTCCCATTCGTGTATATTTCTAATGTTATTCTGGAAGAGCGCTGAAATAATGTTTTTTTTTTGATTTTTTTTGTTTTTTTTGGTTTTGTTTTGTTTTGTTTTTTTTGGTTTTGGTTTTTTGGATTGGATTTTATAGATTTGTTAAAGGAAAGGGGCTGGTGTTTCTCAGGGTTCGAATTACGACAACGCCCCTAAGCGCCAGAGTTGATCGTGATGTCGTGGAGGCGGCGGACCTGAAATATGCAAAACGCAGGGGTCGAGTTCGGCCCCCGAACCAAATATTACACATACCCGTAAGCATTTGCAGAAACATATACACATTTTTTACAGCAATGGGTCAGGCTATCGGCTCTTGTATGTTCGTTCTGATCATGACAATGATGCTGGAACTTCATGCAAGCCGCTCATGTAGTTGTCTTTCCTTCTCAGCACCTTTCTGGCTCAAATCCCGGCAACAGCTCAGAACAAATCATTTAAGATGGTGCGTCTCGGAGCCCGTGTGCTTGCTCTCTCCGCAGTTGCCGGTGTGGCGGTGTGGTCTCAGACGCCGGGACAAAATGGCAGTCCTATCGTGATAGGAAAGTCTTCACGACTTAGCCCTTCAAGCGTATCTGTCGTCAGACATAGGACATTTTCACATCTGTTCCACGCAGAACTCGTACTTGAGCCCCTTCCCCTCGTAGAACTCAGTGTACTAAACTTGTTTCTGGGTACACCAAAGTTCAACTATTCCCGACCCTAAACCCTAAACCCGAATCCTAGTCCGAGGCTCCTGGAACCCGCCCTGCATTCCAGATTTCGGAGTTCAGAATCCTATATGGACTCCTTGACCCTGAGCTCCGTAATCCTGAATTCCAGTGTTTTGTTTTCAGAGTACCCAGAGGGCCGAATACCCCGTAATTGAGGAGCATACCTTAAATCATAATATTAAGGCCCCTATAATCTAAGGTATATTTCTTAGTTAAGGGATATTGGGCTTTCTGGGTATGTCGCTCGATGCAAAGCATGTCCTTTGTCGTGGCTTGCTTGTGCACGAGCATTGGGAGTGCCGACAGGCCAGCATACCGGGGATTTAGGGTTGGTGTTGCCGGGTTCATATGCAAAGGGGTGCTAGGGTGTCTGGTTTTGCTTTTGCTCCAGTTTTGTTAGAAGTCCATTTGTTGCTGTTGGGGTGATGGCGTTCCCGTTGGTGCCGGCGCTGTCTTTCTTGCTGGTTTTGATGTTGATTCATGGTTGGTGTGTGTGTGTGTGTGTGTGCGTGCGTTGGTGTTTGTCTGTGTGTGTGTGTGTGTGTGTGGCGACGAGTTGCTTGACTGTTGCCGTTTGCGTTGCTATAGTAAGCTCACTACGCACCCCAGAGCCTGGAGTGGTTGTCACCCCTGGTTGGGCCAGTTGTTATGCAGCCTTGCCTGCGTCGTGCGAGTGTGAGAGTCGAAACCCTTCAATGGTCAGCTCAAAAGCTCCAGGTTCTAAGCCTCAACACTTCTCCGCCAAAACGCATAAATCTTGTACCAGAAGTTGTATCAAACGCCAATGCCCAAGCAGATTGAAAACTAAGCATGAGATAACCAAATAGATGAAACAGCGGTCGACTGAGGGCCTGCCTCAGAGCCTTCTGCGGCAGCAGCCTCACCCGCCCAGAAGGACTCGAAGTTTCGGCAGCGTAATGCAGGAATCTGATGTACAAAGCCTGAGTATAGGGGCACATTGTTCATTTAGTTGTTTATATATACATATATATATATATATATACACATGTGCATACCTTTGATATAGCTGTATATGCATATATATTTATATATACACATGCACACACATATTATATATGTGAATATATATATATACATATATGTATACATACAAAAGTCAGGAGTCCCCAGAACAGGGGTGCTTTCTAGTCTAGCACCTGCAGAAACTCCGCCATACTTCTTTTTATTCCCTAAACAGCGGGTTCTTAGCTTCGGTGTAAATTCAAGATCCCCTTGCGGCACAGTGCACCTTTATTGATCACAGGCGCGTTCTTTCCACAACTCAGGTGCCTCGCCGAGGCTGAAACATCCCTTTCCAATATCCCTTCATTGAGGAATGTACCTTTCATCATACCTGGGATCTTACTATGAAGCTTCTATAGGGACTCCTGTAAAGCTTGCCATCTTGGCTTTTAGGGGTTTGGGGCCTGGTTTGGAGGCATTAGTGCGTTGGGCACGGGTTTGTGGCTCAAAGCGACTTGTGTGTAACAAGAGGCCGAACAAGTATAGACTGCAGGATGCAAGGCTTTTAGGGTGGGTTTTGCAAAAATCAAATCAATTCAAGGAATCGCATCATGCTACTAATTCTTCAGTACCCTGTACAAGATAGGTTTTTGTAAGATCTATACCTGGCTTACAGGCTGGACCCTGCAACGCACAAGTGCGGCAGTTGAAGGTGTGCACTCTTTAAGCCCGACGCGGCACCTCTCGAACAGGACGTTTATGTAGGTTGCCTGGCTTTCCTTAAGACGGTTTAGGGTTGAGGGAGAGCCATAGCAGCGAGCTTCTAGCAGGGAGTGCGAATTTAACTAACTCGACGAAATTGATTCCATGAAGTTTCAGGGCGAGTGATGGGGGAGCACCAGGTCCTCAACACATGACCCACTTGCCGACCGGAGTGATTGTGGTCAGGACCTGCTGTGGCCCGCAACGGATGGCGCCTGGACAAGATGGAGGCAAGATTCCCAAGCCAAGTGTTGTGCAAGGGTTGAATGGTTTGAACAGGTTTTGTCGAGTCTCGATACGGTTGTCAGAGGGATGAATACAGATATGTAAAGGTTTCTATTCTTCGGAAGGGTACTGCAAAGGCTTCGTATTGTTGTTTGCGGTTTTTTTAAAGCGGGGGACTTAGACCCACTTGAGCTGCGCCTCACTGAGAGCCTTGAAGAATTGGGGCATGTGATTTAGAGTCAGGGGTTTATAGGGCCTGAATTTAGGCTTAGGGTCTAGAGCATCGCCGACCCCAAGACTCATGGCCGCAATCAGGCCTGCTGCAATAAAACAACACCGGAAAAGTTTGGTGGGCGTGGTGGCATTCCCTGTCGCTGCTGTGCAAATTGCTTCTTTGCCGAAGGATTTTCTGAGGGTCAACAACATAGAAACCGCAATATAGAAGCGCAGCAAGGAGAGCTTTGGGCTGTTCAGGCGGTAATTATTCTAAAACAAGTTCTGAGCACAAGGTAACACTAAACCCTTCCTAGAAGTTCGTACCCTACCCCTTTCATGGTACGGCGGGGGTTGGTATACAGCAGTAGGTACCCTACAGGTAGTGCGCATACATCCCAACACCTCAAACCCGCATGCCCGCGTGCCCGAATACCCTGGGTCCCAAAACCCGAAGCTATCATGCCTTTAACCCTACTGATACCCTAACCTGCGCTACCCTGAAGCTGACCACCCGATGTTCTGATGCCCTGAACCCACTACTTTGGCCAGACCTTATCCCTGAGCCGTAAAACCTACATAACCTCGTCTGGCTTGTCCGAACGGCGAGAGCGTAAGCCCTACATAATCCTGAAGCATGACCCATACCGGAACGCTTGTAGCCCCTTTACGGCTCCTTCAAGGACCCTTAAAAACCCAAACCGGCTCCTTTAAGGACCCCTAAAACTCTAAAAAAAGCCCTGAAGCTCCAGGGTTTAGGGTTTAGGGTTTAGGGTTCAGAAGCCCCAGAAGCCCTAAACCCGTACAGTCTCAGTCACGTCTACACGGCAGGTCTCGAGCTTGGACCATAAACCGTATAAGCCCTAAACGCCCTTAAACCCTACTTGCAGGATCAAGGGACTTAGTACATGTAGCTGCTTATAGCCAGCATTCAGGCACTTATAGCCTTGTTTACTGGGTCCTATGACCCTGCAAGTAAACCCTTTCACATCAAGAAGTGGACCCCTCGACCCCTAAATCCAAAACCCCTAAACCCTAAACCCCTAAACTCCTAAACTCCTAAACCCTAAACTCCTAAACTCCTAAACTCCTAAACTCCTAAACCCTAAACCCCTAAACCCCCCAACCCCTAAAAATAGAAGCTCTTTCGGATGCCAGGTCGGCCCCCAGGGCATCGGCCAGCTTGTGGTTGCTGAAGGCTTCTTCATCGGAGAGAAGGACCCCCTGACATGCTCCATGAGGAAGGGTTTAGGGTTTTTTTTGGTTCATATGGTTTTAGTGTTTTAGGGTTCAGGTCTTAGGGCTTAAACGGGCTAATCGGGTTTGAAAGGGTTTGCAGGGTTTAGGGTTTTTGGGCTTATAGGGTGTAGGATTTGTGGGGTTATAGAGGGCCTAGGGTTGAGGGCTTCTTCATCGGAGAGAAGGACCCTTAAAGAAATGCTCCATGAGATAGGGGGCCCTAAACCCTAAACCCCTAAACCGTAAACCCTAAAGCCTAAACCCCTAAACCATCACTAGAACGGGTTCTTGGAAGGGTTTCTTGAGGGCTTTGTAAGGCTCGAATGCAGAACGTTGGGACTTTCCAGGGTTTAATACAGCAGCCTATAATTAAGTAACGATGTTTTGTCGCAGGTGTTCCTCAGTAAAAGGATTCTGCAGGATACCCGCAAGCCTGGCTAGGACTCCTAAATTGTCTGAGCGAACACACCCTAAAAGCAAAGTCTGTGTCCTAAACCTTTCTTCCCGAATCTTTACCGAAAACACCCTGAACCCCAACACCCACAACACTATGTAAACACCTAAGCCCAAATCATTGTAAGCCGTCCTTGCTGGGGCTTGCGATGTGGAAGCCAAGAAACAGCGAAAGGACATGTTCAAGATTTGCAACAAGCAGGGCCGACGCTACCGCATGCGTCCTTTCGCGGAGGAGCGCAAGGTGCCCGAACCCCGTTTCAGGTTTCGTGCATAGTTGTACAATTATTCAACCCATACACATGGAATGTGTTTAGTTACATGGCTTTGTTTGGTCCGCGTCTTGACCTACGTAGTTATTCCCTTGATGTACGTGTTCTTTGATGTTAACCAGTGGTTTTATTTGCATATTTACTGATTGCTTTTTCGTGGGGGTGGGGTGAGGTGTTAGAGCTGTGTTTGGGTTAGGTTTGCGGAGTTGCAGTTTGGATGGCTTTTCGCCGGGCTCGAAACCTCAACTGTCTGATTTCTGCCACGGATTGAGGTGCTTTTAAACACTGAAAAGCCTTAGGACAAGTTGCACACCTGTTACAAGAAAGCGACATAAAAAGTCATGTCTCTGCGAACCCTCAACCCACCGCCGTAGTCCTGAAACCCCCAACCCCTAGAGTGCATGGCTATATCAACGTTAAACCCGAAATCCTCCAAACACGCGCTAAACCCAAAACCCCCAAACCCTAGATCTAGCACAAACTGAAGCCGGAAGCCATCGAAGAGCCCCAAATCCCCTTATAACGCTCTAGACCCTAAACCCCTGAACCCTAAACCCTACTTGGGGGCCGTTTTGACTTAGTAAGTCTACTTAGTATCCCCGAGAAACCCTATTATAATCCCCATCATAACCCACCTTACTAACCCTACTTACTAAGTCAAAAGGGCCTCCAAGTAAACCCCTTTGAACCCTAAAGGATCCCTTTAAAGGAACCCTATAGATCCCATATAGTACCCTATAGATTCCCATTAGCTAACCCTAAACCCCACACCCTAGCACAAAGCCATCGAAGAGCACCCGCCAGACCGACACCACCCTGCCTGGCATCTTCCAGCTCGGACCTTTCAAGATCCACCTGGAGCAGGCAAGCAAAAGTGTTCTTCCCAAAGGGTCCTATGTACTGTTGTGGGGAATACTTCCCTAAGTCATAATAGTAGTTCCTAACTCTCAAGATCCACCTTGAGCAGGCAAGCAAAGCCCAAGGGCTCCCTTAAAGGATTTTAGGGTTTAGGAGTTTAGGGTTTAGGGCTCTCGCTTTAGATATGTAGGCACCCTTAAAAGATTCCTTAAAGGAGCCCCTTAACCCAAAGGCTCCATGCACCTTTATAGTGGACACTTAAGCCTTGAAGGGGTCCCTATATAGGTACTTCAAGGAGTAAGTATATACTATATGGGTACATGGAGCAGGCAAGCAAAAGTGTTCTTTGGGTCTTCGTGTCTAAGTCTAAAGCTTAGCTTCGGTCACTTCCTGTGTAGCGTAAGAACATAGCAATCAAAAGTCTTTGTAGAGCTTTGGGTCTATAGCTTAGCTTTGGTCGTTTTCGGTATAGCATGAGAACATGGGTTATTTTTAACATAGTATTGTGTCATTAGGTTTAGTGTGGGTCTGAGAAGTTTATGGAAAAACCTCCCGCCATCGCCATGAAGAGTAAGTAGCACGTATTTTTGAGGTCTACATGGGTTCTCAGAGCCTTAGAGCAGTTCCGGGTTTTCCGTGTTCACAATGGTGTTGGTGACAACTCGATCCTAAGCCTTAGAGTCATTAGAGGATCATACAGCATCGTAAATCCTAGTAAAGTCAGACCTTTTAAGATCATGAAACAAGGCCTAAACTCTGAACCTAAAAAACCCTAAGCCCTAAAAACCCGAAACCCTTTAGCCCGAAACACTAAAACCCCTGAACCCCTAAACCCTAAACCCTCACCTTTGCCCCGCCATTTGGAGGCCTTCCAAGGCGGATCTCCTCATAGTAACCTTATAGATCCCTTTGTAGTAGCTGATAGATCCCTTAGAGTAACTTTATAGTAACCTTATAGATCCCTTAAAGCAACCTTAGAGTGACCTTATAGATCCCATATAGTAGCCTTATAGATGCCCTCATAGTCACCTTGTAGATCCCCTTAAAGTCACCATAATGGACCCCCTTCATAGCAACCTCGTAGATCCCTTCATAGTTACCTTATAGATCCCCTTGTAGTAACCTTATAGATCCCCTTGTAGTCCTTACTTCGCCCTAAACCCTAAACCCCTAAACCCCTCAACCCTAAACCCTAAACCCTAAACCCCTAAACCCCTAAACCCTAAACATCCCCTTGCAGTCCTCACTTCGCCCCGGCTTTTCGAGGCATTTCGAGGTGGAGCCGGCTCCCACGCACTTTTCGCAGATCGGCCCGAGGGTGACCTGGCGAAGGGCTTCTTTGAGCTTGGCTTTGGGGGTTCCTAGGATGTCCTTTAAAGGGATCCTAGGGTTCCTTTAAAGGGATCTCTAGGGGTTCCTAGGTTCCTTTAAAGGGATCTAAAGGGGTTCCTAGGGTTCCTTCAAAAGGATCCCAGGGTTCCTTCAAAGGGGTCTATAGGTGTTCCATTAACGAGATCTATAGGGGTTCCTAGGGTTCCTTGAAAGGGATCTATAGGTGTTCCTAGGGTTCCAAAAGGGTACTATAAGGGTTCCTTGAAGGGATCTAGAGGTTTCAGGGTTCCCAGAGCCTCCATAATCCTCCACTAAAGGAAAATACCGTAAAGCTGAAGTAGGATCCCTATCTAAACTATGATGTAGGGTCTATTCCTTAACTAAGCGATTTTGGAAGGTCTGTGCGCCTGAATTCTGAACCCCCATAGGCTGAGCACTAAGCCTTCGATCAAGAAGCCCGGATGTTTCGGCGACCTGCTCAGAATGCATGCGCACATGCCTCTTTACATGTGTGTAAGTGTATGTGTATATATATATATATATATATATATATATACACATACATGTATACTTTATACTTATATGTGTACACGTACGTGTACACATGTCTTTTATTTGCTCATCGGCTTTATCATGATGGCTTCACTCCAGCAAACCACAAATGCAAACTCAAAACCTGGGCCCATCCACGAATCACTCCGTCGCCAGCGGCCGAGGCTATTCGGGCAACGGCGGTACCGCTGGCTGGGGGGTTGCTGGGCTGTTCTTGACGCAGAGAGCCCACTACCCCTGAACTAAAGTCTGTATAGAACAGACTCTGTTTGCATTGTTCAGCCCCCCGTGGTTTGGTCTGAACAGTATGCTCGTTTCATGGTCAGACACTGCGACATTAGCAAAGCGACACTGTAGTTTCATGGCCCAAAAGTGCCCGAATGTTCAGATGACGTCCGAGATTATTGCCCTAAACCCTAATTCATTCAACCCCTAGACACCTAACCCCCGAAACCATGTGCTTCGCCTGAGTTGTCCGAGTGTGAGCGCTGAAATCCCTACACGCTTAAAGCCGCAACCCCACGAGTGCTGCGGTTAAGATGAGATGCTTCTATGCTCCCGAGCTTTGCAATGTCCGAACTGTTCTCAGTCTCGTGAAACCCACGGCTGCTTATACCCGACCTTCCAGTATGCCCGCGCTGAAAGGAATATTAGGGATCCTGCTTCGTATAGTTTAAGGTAAATACGCTGTAGTGTAACCACTTTAAAAGGATGTTGGAAGGTCTAGATATGTTGCAGACTCTACTGCACCCTACTGTATGTTGAGACACACGGCAATGGGTTCTTGCAGCCCAAACCCTGAAGCCCTACACCCTCAACTTTTCAAACCCAATGCTCCGAACCATGAGTCTCTAAACCCTACATGCCAAAACCCTAAACCCTAAAAGCACCAGTTTGGGGTTCAGAGTTGAGATTTTGCGGAGAGAGCTCTGCGCTCTTTGACCGGTCAGCCTGACTCGAACCTTACAGGTTTAGGTTTAAAGCCTCGGGGTTTCAGAAAACCCAAGGCAAACCCCAAACCTTCCAGCCCTAGCTACACTCCGAGCCCAAAAAGAACCCCAGAACGTCGACGAACCCTAACCTAGTAGTAGAGTAGGTAACCTTTAACCGCTTTAACCTTTTTGGGTAGTATAGTCCCTATATAACCCCGATATAACCAAAAAGGTTAACCTTTAGTTCCCCATGATATCCGACAAGTAGCCAACACCAGCTCAGGAAGACATCCCTACTCGCAAGGGTGGCTACGGCAGCCGCTAAGCACGTCTGAGCAGATTTGAGCAACACACCGATTTTTCACCAAGTGATGTGGGAGTTTCCGAAAAAGCAGGGAGCCCTCGTGGCTCTTGTAGTCAGGATGATATCATCAAGTGTCGGCTGGGACCGCTAAAAAAGGGAATCTCCCGTGTGCAGAAAGAGAATTGTCTACAGGTATAGACAGCTCCCGACGCCTCATTGCAGAATTGCGAAAAAAGGTCCGCAAGAACCGGGCTCTGTCCCATGGAGACGAATCCGCTCTTAACATCGTGCAGTCCTATGTTCCTATCATAGTTCCGCCGGGGCGGGGCCATAGACTACATCCAGGGATTCGCTTGGTCCTCCGTTCCGCGGATCGCTGCAACCTCCGGTTCTGCGCGGGCATTCGTCGAAGGCTTCTGGCCTTGCTTTGCAATGAGGGTGGCGGCACCACTGTCTCGGCCTTGTGTAGTGTCGTTTGTGATGTTCATTATTTTGTGACGCGGTCATGTTTGTGATAGAATTTAAAGTTCCGGGTAAGTCATAAGACTATCAATAGACATCCTTGCTCTTGCTTTGTTCAACCCCGCAATAGCCCTGTCTCTGGCAACCTTTCTGCGAAATGGGAGTTTCCGAAAAGAAGGGGTACCTTATCTTGGGGTCCTTATCATAAGGATCCTAGTTACTATATTATTAGGGTCCGCGAATTTTCGGAAACCCCCCATATGGGAGGTGAAGATGGCACATCGCCACTCCACCTCGCGGCCAAATCCGGTGAGCTGGAGGTGGTAGCAGCTGGGAAAGCAATGCCTTTATCGATTCCTTAGCCTATCATACCCTGCTTGGTTTGTATTTGCAGAATACTATTACAAACCCTAGTATGGAATTTGTAGAGAGCCGAATAAAAGTAGGTTTCGGTAGTTTACGGTAGGGCAGAGGGATGTAGGGCTGTAGAGTTCAGGATTGTATTGGGAATTTGGGTAGCTACGTGATCATCGCAACCTGAAGTGTGGGATGACCAGTTGATAAGTTGTCGCAGTCTGGGGTAGCCGGTTGGCATGGGTCTGCAGCACAGTCGGCACCCCGGTTCCTGACTTATGCATGGCCCAGGTGGAAACAAGACGTCTATAGTCCTATGGTAGATACTTTGACAGTATACAAACTCATTGGCTCCGATACGATTTAACACATATCCTGTATCCCGCATAGTGCCTTGAGACCTTTGGGGCGAAACCCTGAGGCCTAAACCTTAAATCTCTATCTTCCGCTTCTCGGGATCCTTGCGAGTCGCAAAAGGGCCGCTCAAAAAAAAAACAAGAACCTTAAACCCCTACAGACTCGAAGAAAACTCTAAGCCCTGAGCCCTAAACCCTTTAAACCGTCAACCCTAAACCGTATAAAACTGAAAAACATCTTAAACCCTAAACCCTTTAAATCCAAAACCCTAAACCCTTTGCCTCGCCTGGATTGTCCGAGTGTGAGCGCCGAAACCCTTTAAACCCAGCCTGGAGCATAGAGTGGAAAAAGGGCTAAAACAAGCTTTTAAATCCAAAACCCAAGACGTCTTAAGTCCTGAACCCAAAACCTTTTAAAACTTAAACCCTCTAAGCCCTAAACCCCAAACCTGCTAAACTCTGAACCCAAAGGTACTCCTTCTGGATGCGGGAGCTCCACTGGAGGCCTCCAGGGGTACTTGGAGGCCCTTTTGACTTAGTAACTAGGATTAGTAAGCTGGGTTATGGGGATTATAATAGGGTTTCTGGGGGATACTAAGTAGACTTGCTAAGTCAAAAGGGCCTCCAAGTACGGGCGGGGAAGGGGTCGAGATTGTGTTAAATTCTAGCTCAGGGTGTTTATAGGGTTTAGGGGTGTGTTTAGGGGTTGTTTCTTTTATGCATGGCTCAGGGTGTTTACGTAGGGATTGTGGCGATTATGGAGGAAAGTTAGGAGCTTCGAGGCTGTTGAGAGTGCTTTATGTATAGTTTTTTCAGTGGTTTAGGGGCTTTCTGGAGGAAATTTGGCAGCTTTTGTGTTAGCCGACTGAGTCCGCAGAGCACTGGCAGTTTTAACGTAGGGTCGAAGTGCTCTAGGTTCGCCTGATTCGCTTATATGACCGACTGATATCCGAATCTAGGCGTCGAGTAATGTGAACATTATTTCCTGAGGCTGCGTAACATACCACAAGGCCTTGCTCTAATTTTTGCGGCCCTTGTATTCCTGTTTTACTTCAAGAATTGGGCAGAGGACTTCCAACTGGCCAGTCCTTCCAAAATCCTTTAAGGAAGAACTGAATTGTAGTAGGATCCCTAAAACTGGCTCAAAGTACATTCCTTAGTTAGTGGAAGGACCTTCCTAGTTGCTGGAAAAAAGTAGCGAAAACAACAAACCTGAGACTTTCAAATAACCCTAAACCCTAAACCCCAAAACCCTAAACCCTAAAACCCTAAACCCTAAACCCCTAAACCCTAAACCCCAAAGCTTTCCCCGAAGGCCCCAGATTACACCGGCGCCACGGCCCTGCATTGGGCGGCTGCTAACGGCTGCTCAGAGGCCTTCCACATATTATTAGTATTATTAGTACTATTAGTATTATTAATATTATCAGTATTCTCAGTACTATCAGTATTATAAGTATTATCAGTATTATTAGTATGATCAGTATTATTAGTACTATTAGTATTATTAGTATGATAAGTAGTATGAAGGGCCCTTGAACTTTCAGCATGACTGGGGCCTAGAGAAACCACCTTTTTAGCGTTAATGATTCTGATTTCCTCAAGTCCTTAAGTAGCACTTAGGCGATTTAATGTTGACGTAAGCCTTTCAAACAAGACCCCTGGGGTAAAGGGGTTTAGGGGTTGTTTGTATTCCATGGTCTGATGCAGGAGTGCTTGAAATCTTGCAGACCCTATACACTATAAACCCTAAGCCCTATAAACCCTAAACCCTAAACCCCTTGAAACCTTGCAGTGTGGTGCTTCCCAGCTGATCGGCAGTGTCTGGGTTCAGTAAAAGGGTTTCGAGCCCCGAGTCCCTAACCCTGCTTAAAGGGTCATTGGACGTAGTAAGTATAAGGCTATAAGTATACTTTAATTGGGGTTACAAGTAATTATAAGTATAGTTACCTTATTCATAACCTTACTTACTAAGTCCCATGATCCTCCAAGTATTGGTCCATGCACAGTACAGCTTCAAGACGGGTTCTATTGTACTGGTACTACAAGGGCTCGACAAGAAACCACAAAAGTCCATGTGCCCGATATATACTGGCCATGAAGGATTCCCATGACGTAGGTACTTGAGTTCCAAGTATACGAGTATACTATAAGCCCTTCGTAGATACACAGGTTCCCAGTAGATGGTTAGGATTTCGCTGCAGAATATTTGTTCAAGACCTTGGGAGCTTAGGGGCTAAGACATGGGGCTTGTAGGGTTTGAGCTCATGGGGTTAACCTCTAAACCTTAAAGGCCCTGCGACCGAAGGCCCATACCCACAACCAAAAAAGACGCAAAACACGTACACTGACAGCTGAGGGTCGCATAGAGTCACAAAGCTACAGCTATCCTCGAGGGTCCTGTGTCCTTGCGCCCATGACGGCTTCAACGCACCTAAGCCCTGCGTAAGTCCCTAGACTAAACCAGGCCCTTGAGCTGAAGACTCTCTGTAGCTGAACACCCTAAGTTGTTATGGTGCCTTAGACCATCTAGCTAAACCCCAAGTCATAATAAGGCGTGGGGCGCTTCTTAGAGGATTGGGGGCCCGAGTCCATCGGGTCACAAGTTAGGCAACCATTGTGCAATTTACTTGTATATAGTATTAACTGTACAGCGTCTGCAGGGGTGGAGAAGATTCTGGGCGTTGCGGTAGAAGTGAAGGACCCAGAAAGCACGAAACCCTACGCGTTCAAGCTCCCGCATAGGTAGACAGGGGTTTGGGTCATGGTGTACTTTCGCTTCGGGACCATGTTCTATATCCCTAAGGCTCTAAGGACTCATGTTTTAAGGCTTTTGAGAGTAAAGACCATATTGTTTAAGGCTTTTGGGCAATTTTGAGCCTTAGGGAATTAAATCCTATTTCAGAGGCGCAAAAAGCAGTCAAGCACAAGCATGTTATGGGGATATCCCTATCTTATTGGGCTTCATTATACGGTGGTTTATATGGGATATCCTTATCCTAATCTTTGCTTATGTGCTTTTCTGGGGAACCACTATTATAAAAACCCTAAACCCCTAAACCCTAAACCCCTAAACCCTAAACCATAGCAGGGCTGGTTGCTGTTTCAGAGACAGGACGCCTAAGAAGGGACCCAAGCCTGCTGCAAGGTGACCTCTGTGCTGCTAGCGCGAGGCAGGGACACAGAGCCCCTACCCTATAATGGGCTATATAATGGGTATATAGTAGCTATTTTAAGGGTATATACCTAGGGGATCTCAACAAAGAGCCCCGCGAATTAGGGTTTAGGGGTTTAGGCTTTAGGGGTTCAGGGCTGGCACACAATCCAAGCCCCATGCTGAAAAGGGATTCAGGGTTTTGGGGTATAGGGCTTATAAGGTTTAGGGCATGGGAGCCATACTGGAACGAACTGTTCCGGCCCTGCCTATGTAATGTAATTTGACTCCCGGGTGCTATCTTTAGCCGGGCTGGTGTTCCGCCCCAGAAATGGGTGATGTCTTCAAGTTGTTGGTGGCACCCATGTCAAGCGAGGATTTGTACCCTTAAACCCGCAGCCCTTATAAATCCCACACCCTAAACCAAAACCTGTCGGGCGTTTGATGATTCAAATGTCTTGAGCTGGAAGACATCAATGCGCGGTGAATCCGATCGAGGTGCCCACATGTGCACACTGATCCTGCCTTGGATAAGATACTTTGCATTCCGAGTATGGCCCTGTCCAGAAACAGGTACTTTTTAGGTTTCTAGTTCTTGTGCCGAGCCGCACTCGCCTTGCTCTCGACCGTGGTAAAAGACACCGACGCACTGTCCCAATTATCGATAGGCTTGTGAGATGCTTTGATCATGCAAT